CAAAGGACTATATCTTATTTATCTTTGTATCTGCAGAATCTGTCATAGCATTTGGTACAAAGTGGGTGCTCAGGACACGTTGAATAAAAGAGTGAATGTTGTGGGAAGGTACTCCCTTCTCATTAACCATTTCAAGATGGTCACATCTGCATCTGTGAGAGAGAGAGGAGTTACTGGTATACCAGCATGGCTGACTTTAGTTTATTTGGGTCATCTCTTCTACCTCTTTCAAACCGTCCATCTGCAGAAGGGGTGAATAGAATAGCTAGAGCAGGCTAGGTTTTGGGAATGTAGACTTAAGAATGAGAAATGCTTTGAAGGAATTACTAACATGATTAAATTAGTCTAGTAAAATTAATCTAGTGGAAATCTACAGACCATCTGAGATGGTCCCTAATGAATTCTGGAGTAATGGTATTGCACTAGTGTAATGCCACATTTGTAGTTAGCATGAATCAAAATTAACACATGACTACTCAATATCTGGAGTCCAGTATAATGTTTTGTTTAAGTAGAAAAATTAGTGGAATTCATTGAATTATGTACTTAAGATTTCCACACCTTTCTGTATATATTACTTCAATAGAAAGCTTAAAGATATTGAAATACTAATAGTTGTCTAAGAGAAAGTCTGCATTCCTTAGACTTTATTCTGGCCTCACTCATCTTACAAGTTTTCTCTCCTGCTAGTCTCTTCCTGTAACTTAGTCTAGTGTTTCTCAACATTATTTTTACTTCTCTCCTGTAATAATCATTTAGAAAACAAAAATGAAAGTTCCTCCACATTGCTACCCCTCCCTAGCTCCACGTTTCTCAATCTTGGCTCAACCTTCTATAGTTTCTATTACAAAAGAAATGATAGATTTACAAATATAAATTCATACAAATATAAAATTGTTACAAATACAAAATTACCTTATAATATTCATTCCCCAGGAGATTCTGATACATACCTCTTTGGTTGAGAATTGGTTATGGTGACGATTAGGGGTTTGTCCTATTGAAATTCATTAATTCATTGTTTATTGAGCTCTTATAATTGGTGTCGAGGATGGAGGGAGCAATGGGCTGTGGTTCTAGTACCCAGAGTACATTCCCAAGAGAGACAACAGTGCACTAAAGGCTCCATGTTGTGAAAATAATTTATTATGCAAATAAATAAAATTACCAAATCTCAAGTCAGGTTTGACAATCTTGCTTTCAAAATTTATAAATGAGAGTCTGCTTCTAGGGTATAAAAATAATTTAAGCAGAAACTGGTTGCTAGCTTGATTTCAACAGCTCCAATCTGATCCTGATATTTCTTTATGTTATAAATTAATCTTGTTTCTTCCAGGTCCCTGATATTATCTTCCCTAGGCTCTGGGTTACTAAATTTCAATTTCTCTTCATAAACTTTGAACCTGATTTTAAAGTTCTTTTTTTTCTTTTGATTTTTCATTTGCCCTTTGAAACTTAGTCATATATTAGCAACATCCTATTTATGATTTTTAAAAGAAAAATTTTCAAATATGACCTGATGAGCATATTTTAAATAAAAGGAAACATATAAAAATAAGATTTCGTAAGTGAAAATCATGATTAGTTGAGGATTGGTAATTTATCTGTCATATAGTGTAAAACATTCCCTTTTAGTGAAGTTATTTTAGATTATTTTGGAGTCTGTTTCATTCATTCAACAAATATTTATTGAGTGCCCTTTAAATACTGGGACACTGTGTGCTTGGTGCTGGAGATACAAAGAAATGAGGCAGACATGATTTATGCTATACGGAGTTTTCAACTCCACAGTTATAAGCAACATTCTAAAAGTAAACAGTTATAATAAAGTATGATGAGTGCCTGTGATAAGTATGGGCTTCTGTGAAATACAAGTGGGCGGAGGGTTGGGGCGAACATGTTCTAAAAGGCTTCCTTCCCTTTTGAGATGAGTAGGTGGAAAAGCTTGGGAAACATGTTTCAGGCAGAAGGAATGGCACATGAAGGCTATGGATGAGAGACGGAGTACATTTGAGAAAGTGAAAGTTTAGTGTGACAGGATCTTGGACTTGGGGGTGTGGAGGGAAGGGCTGGTGATGAAAGTTGAGGTCAGAGAGGTAAGCAGGAGCCAGAGCCAGAAGGGCATTGCCAACCAATGTAAAGTTTGGGCCCAAAGATCTTAGGAATGTTTTAGGGATGAAGGTCAGAGAGGAGGAAAGAGAGACAAGGTTCCTGAGAAAGTTGGGTATGAGATCCAGAGCACAGGTGGAAGGATAATTTTGATGAACGTTTTAAGGATGTTTTGGAATGTTATTTGGAGGAGGGGAAATGGATGTAAAGACTTAATCACATTTTGAGGAAGATCACTTTGGGTCCAGTGTGGAGAACTGATTGGAGGGGATTGAGGCTTGAGGCAGGGGACTGATTGGGAGGTTGTTGTAATGACCTAGATAGTAGCTGACAGTGGTCTTGACTAGAGTGTTGGCACTGGTAATGGAAGTGGACAGATGAAGGATATTTCAGAGGCAGAAATATCTAGAGTTGACTAGAGTTGGTAATTGCCAGGAGGTGGGGAGGGAGAGGAGTAGTGAAGGTTGCTGTGGAGGTTTCTGACTAGGACAGTGGAGTGGAAAGCAAGGCTATTTATTGAAAGAAAGTAAACTGGAGGAGCAGTTTTAGGCGCGATGGGAGATGGTGATTGTATTTTGGGGGCATATTTAGTTTGCATGTGTGGAGCTGGAGTTCAGAAGAGAGCTAAGGGTTGGGTTTATAGATTTAGGTGTCATCAAAATGGTAAAGACGAGGGAGAATGTATGGAAAAGTGGCTCTTCAGGTTTATTTTTCAAGAGGACAGGAAGAGTTTTGTCAATCTGTTAAACTGTGAACTCCCTCTCAGGAAAAATGTGAGTTCTCTCTCCCCAAAATAGACATATATGTAACAGGTTACATGTAATTGCAAAATTTACAAAATTGGGCGTCTTTGATCCTTAGGTTATAGAGTAAATGAAGAGGACCTAGGGCAAAACCCTGAAGAATCTCAACTTTCATGGATGGAGCATAGGAAACACATCTGGCAAAGAAGACTTAGCATGAGTTTTATGCCTGGTGTAAAACCAGGTGAATGTGGTGTTAAATAGAAACCAAAAGAAGAGAGGGTTCCAGAAGAGGGAGTAGTGAGTAGTGGCAAATGCCTGTCAAGGGTCAAAAAAGTGTCCGTGGGTAGGTTTAGTAATTAGGTCCCCAGGGCTTTGGAAAAGCAGTGTAGGGGCAGTGGTGAGAGAGGAAGCCAGATTGCAGTGGTTTGAGGCATTAGTGGGAGGTAAAGAAGTGGAGTCACAAAGTGTAGACAGTTCTTTAAAGACGTTTTGTTATCAAGGAGAAGAGGTAGGATGGTGGCTGGAGGGAGGAGGCACGGGCGAGACTTGAGTATGTTTAAATGCCCATGAGGCTGTCAGTAGAGGGACGAAAGACAAGGTGCTGAGAAAGTGCTGTGTTCGATATGAGACCCAGAGCACAGGTGAAGGATCGTGTTAGACATTATAGTGGAAGGAAGAAAAAAAGAATGCATATCAAAACAGTAAGTTTGTCAGATTAGTGACAAGAAGTTGGAGAAATTCGCATGTATTTTGTTTCTCTGAAGTAGGATGTGAAATCATTTCACTTCTTAAATCATAGGATGGTGGTTAAAAAACACCATGCTTACTTCATGAATACTGAAGATTATAATTTGGATTTGTCTATGTGTCGTAAAGGTATTGATCCTGAATATTCTGTTCAGTTTTTATGGTGATAACAAAAGTTTAGGGAGGAATTCTTTTAAATCAAGTTTATGGATTGATATTCTTAGTTATGGCCTTAGTTTTCATGACTGAGTTTTTATGTTTTTAAAAACAAAACTGTTTCGAGGATAGGGCCTAAGAGACTGACTAGTAAATCAGTATCTTGTGCTTGTTTAATAATTTTTTATTCATTTACTGGTGACATCTATCTTCAAAATGATTTTTATTTGAACTTTTAAAGTGATCAGTTATATTTAGACTTATTCCCAAGGTTTCTTATGTTAGATGAATTTTTATACACTAAACTTCCAATAATTGTAATTAGTTGAACAGACTATTTAAACTGAGTAGAAGTAAGTAGAAATTAATGAAACATTACTCATAGATATTTTATAAATTAAACTATAAATATATGGAAATTGGTGTTTTCCCTTCACTTGTATCAAGTTTGAATTAAAGAAGTTGTTTATGACTCTCTTCATAAGCACTATTTTTTTAATTGACATATAATGCACTTACTGTAAAATTCACCCCTTTAAAGTGTGCAATTTAGTGGTTTTAATATATTCATAAGGCTGTGCATCCATCACCAGATGAGTAATAATTTAATGCAAGGTAATCCAGAGAATGTGGATTTAGGACATCTAGCTCAGTATGTTAACTTTTTATTTTTGAAAGATATAGTAGATCTATCTTGTCGTTGAGCTGATGATTTAGAAGAAAATTTCTCTCTCCTGTAAAGTTCCTTTGCAGTCTAGATAGAGAGTAAATAACAAAACATTATTGTTTTTTAAAAAAATCTCCTCTGTATCAAGAGAGCTTTATCTTATTTATGATCCCCTTCAATATAAAATTATTTCATTCTTAAAATGTATATATCAACCTGAATTTACATATTTCCTCCCTAGCACTCTTTTTCCCTTGCCACTGAACTACTCTGAGAATAGATCCTGGTGGAAGATAGGAATTGAGTCCTTATTAGGATACCAGATTTATAAACTTCCTTGCCCTCAGCTGTTACTGGTGATCATTGTTAAAGTTGCAACCACTGGCTCAGATGTCTTTTTGTAGTCTTTAGTGAGAGTTTGTGATCATATGTCATACCTTGCTGTAGCTTCATACTTTGCTGTAGTTAGTGTTTAGTAATTATTTACTGGTGTTTTCAGTGTTTTAAAATGAAACTTTTGACAATTCAGTCATACCATTTTAATTCTTCCCATGTATTTTTTGTTTCCCTTACAGTACTCTGTGCAAAAAACTTGGTGAAAAAGGATTTTTTCCGTAAGTAAATTGACTTTAAATCTTGTATGTTGTGTGTAGGTTTTTTTAGATAGCATTTTCAGAATTGTCTAGTTTAGGGATTTCTCTGTTTAGAAATACACTCAATGTTGTTTTATGAATGCTTTGGTTTCAGAGTCTTTTGACATCACATTTGTTAGAGGATTTTGTGCTTTTTTAGCCTCAGTCCCTTTCCCTTTATCCACCCTCCCATATATTTGTGTGAAATGTGTGTGTGTGCAGGTGTGTAAATGTAGACGTGTGTAATGTATAATGAAGGTGTGCACGTACTACTGGACTTCCAAAAAAGGTTTGAGATTATTTTGTAAACACTTTTTTTCTTTTCTCACGTTTTATAGGAAATTTTACCCATGCATTCAGGATTCCTTGGAAGGTAGAAAAGTCGTTCAGCCTACTTGGAATTTCCAGAGTGTAGGAAAGAGATCTCTGCCACACTTGATCATAGGTGCTGTTATGTCTCAGACTCTCAAGCAGACATTTGGTTCCCATATTTGCAGTCTCTTTGCCAAGCTGTTGTGAATTTTTTTGTGGCTGTATTTAGGATTAAGTTTTGTGAGGGAGGAGTGGGAAGTACCCCTCACGTGTGTTTAAAGTCTTTACCCTGTAACATTATACTTCACAATAGCTTTAAATTATTGAATAAAAATGATAGAAGTTTTAGTAAAAGAACTCTGAGCCAACAAAATTTTATATGTAAAATATTTGAAATTAGAAATAGAGAAAATTTATCAGATTTTTAAATTCAAGTCCTACCAACCAGCAAAAACTGGCTGTGTGTGCTAATTTAATATGGCATTAGATAATTTTTCAAGGGTTTGATTGAAAGAAATAAGCTCTTGGGGGCTGGCCCTGTGGCTGAGTGGTTAAGTTTGTGCGCTCCACTTCAGTGGCTTGGGGTTTCATTGGTTTGGATCCTGGGAGTGGACATGGCACCGCTTGTCGTTTCACGTTGAGGTGGTGTCCCACCTGCCACAACTAGAAGGACCCACAACTGAAAAAAAAAAAAGTACATAACTATGTGCTGAGGGGATTTGGGGAGAAAAAAGGAAAAAAAAAGAAAGAAGCTCTTGATATATTTTTAAATCTTACTTAATTCATTCTACTTGAAATTTTTTTACTTCCAATCTTTCTAGAGTAGAACTGAATTAAAATTTATGAAATAACATAAAATTATATAATTGAAAAAGTTTATGGTATCTGTGCTTATATGGGAAAGCAATTAAATAGGATAATTTGGTACATAGTTAAGAAGAAAGTTAGAAGCAGTCTCCAACTTATGTACCATGTGCCCTCCACCCCACTGCATGTCACCTAATGACCAGTGTGTACTCTTTTTACCCTTCTTAAGGTTGATCTGGGGTAAGATTTATCCTAGTAGGACTGCACAGTGGCAGATAGGATTGGATAGGCAGGTGACAAGAGGAAAAGGGCGGAAAGTCAGGAATGCACCCTCTTAGAGCTGCTTCTATACCCTCCAAGACATCTGCTCTGGTTTTAAAGATAAAATCTTCAGTTTTGTCTCCCAGCGTTCCTTCCCAAATTCTTTTCCTTCCTCCAGAGTCCTAAGACACAGCTTCTCCAATAAAATATCCAGATATCCTTGTCTCAGTTTTCTGAGGAAATCTAGAGGAATCTTACTTTAATTCTTTGTAAACCTCTGAGAGCCGATTATGATCACTTACATGATCTTCATCTGTCCTTAAGTTGTAGGTTAAAAAAAGAAGGAAAGAAGGAAATTCTTTCTCTTTTTCATTTGTGTAGGCAGTAAAAATTAATAAAAATCCTTGAGTTGTGAGCTTGCTTCAGGGATAAGAAAATTAGGGGGAACTGTGTGACTATCTCTAAAACCCAGAATGGAAGAAACATTTGATGGCCGTGGAAAGGGAAACAGAAACGCTGGTCCTGAGGCCTTCAGGGGGTGGAAGTATCCCCCAGGTTCCCACTAGCGAAGTTCCTCCCGCTGTGGTTGATTGACATCTATTTATGATCTGTTTATAAGTTGAGAGTTGCCCACATTAATTTCAGAGAAAGAATTAAATAATAGTTCATAAGTCTTTTAATTAAATGTGAGTGAGAATGTGTGTTTATTGATCAGAATGCAGTTATCATTGATAGTGAAATATAGTTAAGTATGCAGTTTAGTATTGAATGAGAAAAGTAAATTTTAATATGAAGCATAACTATAGGCTGGTGAAATAGATATATATATATATTTTTAACTATAGGAAAAAATATGCTGCCATGTGTTGTCTTTTGTAAGATTAATTTGTATAATTTGAGATAATACTGTTTATTCCAGGGTATCTACCCTTGCTGAGAAAAGTTTTGTTAATTCATTTTTTTGAACTGTTTCAAGTTTATTGGCTTTAAAAACAGATTACTTCTCCCTTCCTCCAAAATTTTAGCAGGAAAATTTTCAAACATATAGGAATATGTAAAGAATTTTACAGTGAATACCCATCTGGATTTTACCATTAAGTTTATCACATATCTATCCATTTAGCCATTATCTGTGGAGTTTTTTTTGCTGAGAAAGATTGGCCCTGAGCTAACATCTGTGCCCATCTTCCTCTACTTTGTATGTGGGATGTCAGCCACAGCATGGCTTGAGCAGTGCACGAGTCCGCGCCAACGAGTTGAACCAGTGAACTCTGGGCTGCCAGAGTGGAGCGTGTGAACTTAATTGCTGTGCCACTGGGCCGGCCCCCATTATCTGTTTTTTTTTAAAGAATGTTTTCATTAGTATAAATTTTTTTCTCTCTTTTATGCAAATTTAAGTAAAATATTTGTTAGTAAGATACTATGTGAAGGTGTATTATATAGGGGCCAATTTGAACTTAACTCAGAACCAAGATGGTTGGTTGAAGTTTTTTTCCTTCCCTCAATCAAAAACAAAAGCTTTATTTTCTCTGCACAGTAACTCACTTTTAAGTTGAGATTTTTTTCCATTATTATTTTCAGCTCATTAAGTGCATTTGTTTAGTAAGGAAGTTCTTGAACTTCAGCTATTTTATGTGACTCAGCAATGATGGGGAGAATTGAGAAATTTAAAAAAACAGAAAATGCTTTAACCGCTTTATATTTACCGCTAGAGGTCTCACTAACTTCAGAAAACTTTGATAACTTTTGACCACATTAGAGTGATTTGGCTCTCAGGTTAAATTTTTGTAGAATATCAGGTAAGTTGAAACTCTAGGTATTTTTTTATTAGGTAGAGAGCTTAACAGAAGGAAAACAGAAGGATGGGACTCAGACTTTTCGTACTTCATTAAGGATCAAGAAGCCAGTGTTTTTGTTGTGGAAAAAGTTGTTTCTCCTAGTCTTCAATTCTTTAACTAGTTAAACAACATCCAAAGGGAAAGCTGGAAAAGTAATTTTTGTCTGTTTTTCTTAAAAATATACATTTATATGTTTATTTGTTTAGATAGTAGAGTCAAGGGAACAAGAGTGGATTCTTCCCAGGAGAAGATATTTAATGTTATTGAAGGTAGAGGGAAAAGTAGTCTTCCATTAAACACATTTGCAGATGGTTAGGGATTATTGAAATAATGTGAATAGCACTAAACTTTGAGAACAATATAGTTAAATAGATTGATGCCCGATTTAATTTAAAATTTAACACTTAAATTTTGATCTTCTCTTACTTATTTGAAGTTGACAGATCGTAGAATTGGGAAACTGCCTAGGTGATCTCTGTCTGGCCCTGAATCCTGGCAGATTAGTATCTTGACTTTTAAAAAAATTAGCATAGATATCGAGGTGCAAAGGTTCTCCAGTGATCAACACTTACTAACATTTGGTTCTAGTATTTTTAGCTGTCTGTAGGAAATCTACACTATCCCAATATGTCTAACATCCAAATTGTCATTTTTGTCTCTAATGTTTTATTTAGTTCTACCTTCTTCTCCTATTTTATTTTATTTTTTGGTCAAAAGGACCTCTGTTTTCATTGATACTTTGGCCTGAAAACTGTAATGTCATCTTTGATAGTAATTTCTTACTAATTCATATTAGATCTTTCAGAGTAATTCTTTTAACTGTCATTTCCTTTTCCTTTTCATGTGACTTTCCTAGTTTCAGGGTCTTCTCATCCTACTGTTGGGTTGTTACAATAGCTTCATAGGTGGTCTCTGTGCCTCTGGTCTTCCCTTCTCCCGGTCCACCCTGAATACCACTAATAGGAAAATATAACGTATTTACAGCCATGCTCAAGAACCTAAAATGGCTCCCTATTATCTACCTCAGTCATTCCAAGCTCTTATTTTCTGACTTTTAAGCTTCTCTTACTGGATCAATCTTATCTCTCCAGTAGTATTTATTTTTACACCTTAGCACAAACACTTTGTTTAAACTCCTCAAAGCCCTTCGGATACTGTCATGCCCTCCTTGGTGCTCTTCCTATTTGTCCCTTAAAACTCAAAGGAGTCCCAAGCCTTTCTGTACTGTTCACACTCAAACTGTTCTCTTGTTTTTCTGAGCTCTTGTACTCACTGTTGAACCACGTGGTAAGTGAGAGGTATAATACAGTATAGTGGTTAAAGAGCATAAAATTGAGAGCCAGACTGTACGTGCAGGGGATTAGAATCTAAACTTTAGATCCTACCTCTGCCAGCTTACTACTGTGTGACCTTGGGCTGGTTAATTAGCCGCTTTGTCTTCAGTTTCCTTATCAGTAAAACAGAGATTATAGTGGTATTTACCCCATAGGGTTATTGTGAAGATTAAGAGATTTAATATATGTAAAGCATTTAGAATAGTGCCTGACACAGTATTACAGGTGTTTTCTTTAGAATCATTGCAGTCAAATACTTGTTTATTCTCAAGTGTCCCTCCACCCCCACCTCCATGTAGGGCATTCTTATCTCCCCAGTTAGATGGTAAGTTCTTTTAAGGCAAGGTATTAGATTTTTTTGTTTCATTTTCTCATTACTCATGGTAATTATTCAGTAAAACTTTTTGGCTAACTTGATTTCTTTGTAGCCCATGGTCCTGTGTGAAAACCTTTAAACAGTTCTTTCTTTAAATGAACTGCTAAGGGAGACCTTGGGAAAACTCTAAAGAGAGCCAAGAATGTTTTAAGTATTCACCTTTCTGGGATCAAAGGGCTGGTAAAGATCTATAAAGACTTCCACATTATGAGGTAACCTCTAGACTTTGGTAGTTTATGCTGAGAATGTTTTGGGACAGGAACAAGAAAAAACGTAAGTTTTGGTATTTAATGTAGAACTAACTTTAATCTTAGTTTTAAAATATACCACTTTTCATTTATAGCTAGGTGTTAAACTTTTTAAAAAGAGCTAAAGAATGGAATAATCTTTTGTAACAAATGGTAATCTTTATATAATTAATCTTTCATGTCAAAATATTAATTAAAAAAAAGTTCTTCCCTTTTTTCACAGGACTTCCTGATCCATTTGCTAAGGTGGTGGTTGATGGATCTGGGCAATGCCATTCTACAGATACTGTGAAGAACACACTCGATCCAAAGTGGAATCAGCATTATGACCTGTAGGTTTAAGTGATTAATTTGAAATAGAATCAATATTATTTGATAGAGTCTTTGAAAGGAATGACTGAAAATGATCTGAGTCTTATCTGTGGTATAATTGGGGCTTCACAGAGGGGTACAAAACCCAGTGGGAAGGTACTTTGGCTTTTTGATAGCAGTTTGAGGATGAGGTACCCTTAAGCCTATGAAGAACAAAGTGAAACTGGCTCACAGCATTGAGCAGTTCCCCCCTCCTTTTTTCAATTAAAAAAGGTATTAATTCACTTTAGGCCAATTATAAGTATAAAACCAGAAGTCAGAATTGGGATACACTCATAGGCATTCTTTTTTGCTTCTATATGAATGATTTCTTTCTTTCTTTTAAATTTTATTTTAATCATGGTAGCATATATACCTTTTTAGAAAGGAGAATGATACTGTAAGGCTTTTAATGGGAAAGTGCAGCTCTCTGTCCCATTCTTATTTTTGATACACATTCTCAAGGTTGCTGTTTTCAATAACTTTGGCTACTTATTCTGATATTTTTTCTGTTTCTGGATATCATGCTTATTTTATAGCATCTTGATTTTTTTTTTTAGGTATTATTTTTAAATTTCCTGCCATAGAAGATGATTTAGCTTTTACAACTGATTTCCCTCATTCCTGCATGACACCTACATGCCCCTTCCTTTCTCCTCGCCCTCCTATAATAGTTATTTGAAACTTTTTGGTTGGATTGTTGTTCTGTGTTTACATTATTATGAGCATGTAAATATTCATAACTGAGTTGTATTAAATATGGTATGTGCAATGATTACATTTCCTTTCTTGACAACTTTTGTTTTTTTAAAGTTAATAACTATCTTATTTTGCTATCTGTTTAGTTTTCTGTCTCATCAGTTAGTTCTTAAACCCTCCTACAGAACTGAACATCTCTGCATATGTTCAGCTACATGAGGACTTGCATTGGCTTTGTTTTCTCCCACCTGGAGCCTCTGTCTTTTGCTCCAGACTGGTCTGGTGGTTCTCAGAGACCTGCACAGCTGCCCTGGGACTTGCCTTTATCATTATGTTGGGAATTTCCTTTGTCTTTTCTAGGTCCAATGACTTCCTATTTTTTGGTTTACTTCCCTGTTTTGGTGCTGTCTATCTTCTGTTGTCATCTTGAGAAAGTGCAAAGATGGAAAAAAAATTTTGAGATCTTATCTGAAAATATGTTTTATCTTTTTACTTGACTGATTGAGTACAGACTTCTAGATGAGACATCACTCCCCCCCCCCCCCAAATTTTGAATACATTGCTTCATTATCTTCTGGGTCTAGATCAGCACTGTCGAATAGACGTAAAATGTGAGCCACAAATGGGAGCTCGTCTGTAATTTTAAATTTTCTAGTAGTCACATTAAGAAAAAATAAAAAGAAACAGATGAAGTTAAGATTAATAATATATTGTATTTAATTCAGTATATCTAAAATAGTCTCATTTCAACGTATAATCAATATAAAATAATTATTGAGTTATGTTTTATATATGTGTGTGTGTGTGTATGTATATATATATATACCAGGATGAAATATCTGGGCTGTTTCCCCAACTTTATTTTCCAGCATTCCTATTTAATTGTAATTTCTACTCTCACATTTTTAACTTCCAACATCATTTTGCTTTCTGAATATCCCTTTTGCATAGCTTCCTCTTATTTCTTGGATGCAGTAACTTCTCTGATGAGAGAAGTGAGTCTTAATTATAGTTTTCTTCTGTTACCTATGTTGTGTCTGTTTTCTCAGAGTTCCTCTTTTCTGTTAGTTTGATTTTGTTGTCTGTCTTTCATGATGAAGGTGAGGCACTTAAATGTTGATTGGAAGCTCTGTGCCTATGGGTAGAGCTGATCAACTCACTAGTGTAATCAGGTGTGACTGTGATATTTTCATTGCACAGAATTCTCCTGTTTCCTGCCTAGGGCCTATATTCTTGGGTGCTACTGTTCTGGAGCTGAATACTGTAAGGATGCTAGGAGGTCTCTCCATTCACTAGATTAACCTCTCCTTATTACCCCTGTTTTTACTATGGAATTTCACCTCCTCCCTCAGCTGTGCCCAGTGTCCCTGAGTAGAGAATGTTTCAGAGGATAAACCTTTGATCCTCCTGCTAGGATTGGGGATGAACTGGGTGGGAAAAGGATTTGGGGAGTTCTTTCTGTTCCTTTTAAACACTTGCCCCAATCCTTCTGTTTCAGCCCCACCATCACTGTCAGAGTATCTTGGGCATACAGTTTGGGAATATTTCAGGGGTTTTGGGGCAGTGATAGTGTTGCTTCTTCTCTATTCCTCTCTGCAGGCTTAGGTTTCTTTTTTCTCCAGGTTGCTAATTCAGTTTCACATGCTGTCTAAGCTTCTGCCATTTTATCAACATCTCTTATGTTATAAACATGTTTAATTGTCCTGATAATTGACTAAGTCTTTAGCCTTTTAAGCTTCACAGTCATTCTACTTCACTCTTCATCAACCTCAACTTTTCTTCAAAATGTTCCACTTGAACTTTACCTACAAAAACTAATGTTAGATCTCCCATCAAAACTTCTATGCCTGACAAGAGAAAGGAATACAAGGAATCCAGATAGGGAGTGAAGAAGTGAAACTCTTGCTGTTTGCAGACCACATGATGTTATATATAGAAAACCCTAAAGAATCCATCAGAAAACTATTAAAAATAATTAACAACTACAGTAAAGTTGCAGGGTACAAAATCAACTTAGAAAAATCAGTTGCATTTCTATATTCTAATAACGAACTTACAGAAAGGGAACTCAAGAATACAATTCCATTTACAGTTGCAACAAAAAGAATAAAGTATCTAGGAATAAATTTAACCAAGGAAGTGAAGGACTTATACCATGAAAACTATGAGACATTATTGAAAGAAATAGATGATGACATAAAGACGTGGAGATTCCATGCACATGGATTGGAAGAATAAACATAGTTAAAATGTCCATACTACCCAAAGCAATCTGCAGATTCAGTGCAATTCCAATCAGAATCCCAATGACATTCTTCACAGAAATAGAACAAAGAATTCTGAAATTCATGTGGGGCAACCAAAGACCCTGAGTTGCTAAAGCAATACTGAGAAAAAAAGAACAAAGCTGGAGGCATCACAATGCCTGACTTCAAAATGTACTACAAAGCCATAGTAATCAAAACAGCATGGTACTGTACAAAAACAGGCACACAGATCAATGGAACAGAACTGAGAGCCCAGAAATAAAACTGCACATCTATGGACAGCTAATCTTCGACAAAGGTGCCAAGAACATACAGTGGAGAAAAGACAGTCTCTTCAATAAATGGTGTTGGGAAAACTGGACAGCCACATGCAAAAGAATGAAAGTAGACCGTTATCTCATGCCATACACAAAAATAAACCTAAAATGGATCAAAGACTTGAAGATAAGTCTTGAAACCATAAAACTCCTGGAAGATAAATGTTGGTAGTATACTCTTTGACATTGAACTTAAAAGGATCTTTTCAAATATCATGTCTTCTCAGACAAGGGAAACAAAAGAAAAAATAAACAAGTGGGACTTCATCAGACTAAGGAGCTTCTGCACGGCAAAAGAAACTAGAATCAAAACAAAAACACAATGCACCAACTGGGAAAAAATGTTTGTAAATCATCTATCTGACAAGGGGTTAATCTCCATAATATATAAGGAACTCACACAACTGAACAGCAAAAAAACAGCCCAATCAAAAACTGTGCAGAGGATATGAGCTGACGTATTTCCAAAGAAGATATACAGATGGCCAATAAACATGTGAAAAAATGTTCAACATCGCTAATTATCAGGGAAATGCAAAGCAAAATTATACTAAGATACTACCTCACACCTGTTAAAATGACTATTATCACTAAGACTAAAAATCACAAATGTTGGAGAGGGTGTGGAGGAAAAGGAACCCTCATACACTGCTGCTGGGAATGCAAACTGGTGCAGCCATTATGGAAAACAGTATGGAGACTCCTCAAAAAACTAAAAATAGAAATACCTTATCACCCAGCAATCCTGTTACTGGGTATCTACCCAAACAACTTGAAATCAACAATCCAAAGTAGCATATGTACCCCCATGTTCATTGCAGCACTATTTGCAATAGCCAAGACATGGAAACAATCCAAGTGCCCATGATGATTGGATAAAGAAGATGTACACACACACACACACACACACACACACACACACACACACACACTGGAGTACTACTCAGCCATGAAAAAGGACAGAATCATCCCATTTGCAACAACATGGATGCACCTGGCAGGAATTATGCTAAGCAAAATAAACCAGACTGAGAAAGACAAACACCACTTGATTTCACTCATATGTGGAATATAAACAACACATGGACAAAGAAACAGTTCAGTGGTTACCAGGGGAAGGAGGGTTGGGGGGTGGGCAAAGGGAGTGAAGGGGAGTGCTTAGGTAGTGACAAACAAGAAATAACGTACAACTGAAATTTCACAATGATGTAAACTATTATGAACTCAATTAAAAACAACAACAACAAAAAACTTCTCTGCCTAACATTGCACCTACTTACTACTAGACCTTTAGCTCTGGAACGACCCTAGAGTACCCAGACTCAGTGTGGACTCTGATCAGTTGTTTAGATTTTGCCTTCTAAACCACATTTGAACAAATGTCGTATCTCCATTGCAACAGTAAGATACCTGGAGACAGCTAGGAATAATGCTTTTGTGTGTGTTCCTCAGTGCTATGGCTCAGTAACTCCGAGTTAACTTAATAAGCAAATAAATGGGAAGTAAAAAAGTAGACATGGAGAAATGAGACTACCTAGCATCCCACTCTGCCGCTTACTGTGTGATCATCAGCTCATCGTCTAACCCCTTGTGCATCCATTTCCATAAATAATATTATAACAACAACAATATTGCCTACTGGAGAAGATTGATATTAAGATTGAGATAATACACGTAAAGTGCTTAGACTAGTACCTGGCATGGCATGTTAATTCTCAAATGTTAGACGCTTTTAGTAAATATATTCTGGGTCACAAATTTTTTATTACTTGATTTGACCTTTAGAAATTTTGGAAACAAAGCTGTAATAAGCTATCTATATAGCTAACTAAGCTTTTGGGTTCTTAATCAGATTATTTTAAGCTATTTCTTTTAGCTTCAATCAGATTTAATTCAGCCAGAAACCCAGCTACAACAGTGAACAAGACATAGTCCTCCAAGTTTATAGCCAAGTGTTATATAAAACAAGTAAATAGAAAATTATGAACAGTGTGATAAGAATATGGGGAAGTTTAGGATATTATAGAAATACATAGAACTTTTTTTCCCCTCCTTGTTTTATTTATTTATTTAATTTATTTATTCTTTTTTGAGGAAGATCAGCCCTGAGCTAACTACTGCTAATCCTCCTCTTTTTGCTGAGGAAGCCTGGCCCTGAGCTAACATCGTGCCCATCTTCCTCTACTTTATATGTGGGACGTCTTCCACAGCATGGCTTGCCAAGTGGTGCCATGTCTGCACCCGGTATCCGAACTGGTGAAACCTGGGCCGCCGAGAAGTGGGACGTGCAAACTTAACCGCTGCGCCACCGGGCTGTCCCCCATAGAACTTCTTTACATGATTTAGGAGTTGGGGAGAGCTTCCTAGAAAAACTGGCATTTAGGCTTAGACCTTAAGTAGGAGTTAGAAAAAGGAAAAGGGGGAAGGCTCTAAGCAAAAGCAGTCTGTGTGAAGACCCAGAGGTGAAAGAGAACCTCACTCTGAAAACAGTTAAGAGAGGCAGCACTGGAGAGTTCACGTAAGGTAAGGGGAATGTGGAAAAGATGAGCAGGAGCCAGCTCATGACGGTCCTCGAAAACCTATTAATATGTTTGAATGCTCTCCTAAAGACAACGGGGAGCAATGAAAGATTTTAAGTGGAGAAATGCTATGATTAGATTTATGTCCAGTAATGGACACGCGGGCTATAATGGGAAGAATGGCAAGCAGACTAGTTCCAACACTATGGGGTAATCCAGCACATAGAAAATGATGACTTTATGTTACAAAAGTGGTAATGTGAATGGAGAGATATAGACATTCTAAATTATTTTAGTAAGCTTTAAAACTTAAAAAATTTTTTATCCTTAAAAAAAAAAAAGTAGTTATACAGTATACCCTGTGCTCTGTTGGATTTGGCTCATAGGCTGGGGTTCGCTGACCCCTGCCTTGGGCCTCTTGCTTTTCCAAAAAGCCTTGCTGCTGCTGTCTTTCTCAACACAGCAGCTAGAGTGATCCTGTTAAAACGTTTTTCAGATCTTGTTACTCCTCTGCTCCGGATCCTCCACTGGCTTCCTGTCTTACTTGGAGTAGTAGCCAGAGTTCATACCATGGCAGACAAGGCCTTTTATGATTTGTCCCCTGTGTTGGTTAGAGCAGGTTAACTGATACAGTAGACAACCCCAGATTTTCAAGTGTATTTTGTGTATAGAGTCCATTTGGCAGGGAGGCAAGACACTGTCACACAGTCATTCAAGGACACAGGCTGACAGAAGCTCCCTTGTTTTCAGTGTATGTTCTCAAGGTCTTTCTGGACCTTGACATCCAGCCTCCTGACAGGATGCTTAAGCCAGTGGTGGGCTGTTCTAAGGCCTGAGGGAATCAATATTTTAGCATACATGTAAATAAGGCTTACCAGTTGGGAAACTGATTTAATGTGTCTTTTTTTTTAATGTTTGGTTTGGGATGATTTAGGTGTTTCATACTTGATTCTGGCTCTAGAATTTTGACATCTCACGTAGTAGTTAACATCTACTACAGACTTGGTAGTACTTGGCTACTACTACTAACAGCCAAGTCTGTTAGGTATGTTTGAAAATTGGTGCATGTGTACTAAATGATAGTTTAATCTACGTCTTTTAATTTGCAAGCAACAGAAATGAAATTCAAACTGTCTTCGTTTTTAAACAGGGACTGATGTATTAGCTTGCATAATTAGAAGTCTAGGGGTGGGCATGCTTTAAGCACAGCTGGATCCAGGGGCTCCAACGTGGCTTCTGTGTTCCTCATTTAGAAGTTTTAGTCCTCACTTAAATTATTAAGGCTTTTTTATATACTAGGTAAATTCTTCTGATATTACTCCTTTACTGAATGATACTTTAAGGTCAAGGTTGCTGGACCAAAAATTTGACCTTTTAGAGTCAGTGAAATCTAGTTAGGGTTCTACTGCTGTAATTAAGTTGTTTATTATATTTTTGCATGGGTTGACACCATGTTAACAATTGGCTGTGGTAGAGCTTTTACATACTTGCAGGTATATGCACAGACGAGTGTAGTAACGCTTTTCCCTGCTCTGCTTGTCTGCAGGCAGTGAAGTGAAATCTGCAAGAGTCCTGCTCGCTCAAGGCCTGCATACAGGAAAGAAGCAGGGGAAAAGCGTTACAAACAGCTTTTGTTCTGCAGCATTTTAAAACATAACAGGTATGTCAGATTTTTGGTCTGTCAGCCTTGACAATGCCCCTTGAAAATGAACTGAATACTCTCTGAGGTAGTAGGTCATGTCATTGAAATGTGTTTAAAATGTGACAGTGATAGAAGTTGTAAGATTTTTGTTCTTGGAAAGAAATAATCATTACAAACTCCCATAGTGTTATTAGACTCTAGCTACTAAAATAGTTTTTTTACTAACAAAAATTGTTACTCAGTCTGAGAGTGGCAGATGTGATAAAGGATATATGAAAAATTCTTTTTAGATTTTACTTTTAAGATTTTTTAAAAATCTGAATTCAGTCCTGTGGATTGATTGAACTCAAAACATATTTTGCATGAACTCATCATGCTCTGAAACATCTGTGACTTTAGACTGTGAAAACAAAAGAAAACTTTTAAAGTAACTACTTGTAATTGCCAGGTTACTCATGTAGCCATTTTGTTTTCTAGGTACATCGGAAAGTCTGATTCAGTTACGATCAGTGTATGGAATCACAAGAAGATCCATAAAAAACAAGGTGCTGGATTTCTTGGTTGTGTTCGCCTTCTTTCCAATGCCATCAACCGCCTCAAAGACACTGGTTGTAAGTAGATACTAGTGCTTTTCAAAATTTAAAAATATATATATATGTTTTAGAGGGTAGGCAGGGGTCCAAAAACTTTAATTTCCTGTATATATTTGAAACATTGGTGAAAATTCCTGGTCTAAATTTATTTTGTGGACTTTAAAAAAAGAATGAAACATTTTAAGTATGTGAATCCTAGAGCTGAATCAGAGCTGATGCTTAGTTTCCAGTGAATTTATGAGTGCTAAGAAATGATTGATACTCAGAAGAGTGAAAATAAAGGTGTCAAAGTGTATATGCCTTTTAAAAAAATTTCTTGACATCCTTCTCTGGTTTTGGTGGATTTATGAGATAAAGTGAGTTCTAGTTAGGTGACTGGAATGTTTAAGGTGACAATTGAAGGGAATTTTAGTGAATAAGAATGATATATAAAACTATAGTGAGGGGCTGGCCCGGTGGTGCAGCAGTTAAGTTTGCACGTTCTGCTTCGGCGGCCTGGGGTTCACTGGTTCGGATCCTGGGTGCAGACATGGCACCACTTGGCAAGCCATTCTGTGGTAGGCATCCCACGTATAAAGTAGAGGAAGATGGGCATGGATGTTAGCTCAGGGCCAGTCTTCCTCAGCAAAAAGAGGAGGATGGGTGGCAGATGTTAGCTCAGGGCTAATCTTCCTCAAAAAAAAAAAACTACAGTGAAAAAATTAAAAGTTATAGAAAGATAAGACATTATTTTGAGTGTAAGACAGATGTGTTAACTACTTGGCTATAGCTCAGTTTTTCACCAACCTGGGCATTTAGAAGATTAGACCCAAATCAAGACATTAGAAGTGATTTCCATATTGGATTGACAAGTTGATTTAGCATATGTGTAATTCATGGAACCAGGTGACAAAGCATCTTTTGGGGAGTATTTCCATTGGGACATAGATGGAAATACTTTTTCAACAGAACTTTTTTGTTGTTTCTACAGAATTCTTCTTTATATAACATAAAATATACTGCTAGCCATTGTCATGAGATTTCAGGCTGAATGCCTGTGCTAAGCAGATTCACATAGAATATAGCTAAGGAAATTTGTAAATAAAAAATAGAGTCTCTTTAGCTTTGAATATTAGATATATTAAGAGATGATCCTTTTTAATACATTAACAGGATGCCATAGCCCAGATACATACATACTGATCTGTTAAAAAGAAAAAGGGAGAAAATTGAGCTAGAAGTTCTGAACCAGGAGAATTTAAAGGCACCTGAGAATTTCTTACATTTCTGGGTTGCCAGGGTAACCAAAAGAAGAGAGAAGACACTGGGATTGGGGCTGGCCCGGTGGTGCAGTGGTTAAGTGTGCACATTCTGCTTCTCGGCAGCCTGGGGTTCGCTGGTTCGGATCCCGGGTGCAGACATGGCACTGCTTGGCACGCCATGCTGTGGTAGTCATCCCACATATAAAATTAGAGGAAGATGGGCACGGATGTTAGCTCAGGACCAGTCTTTCTCAGCAAAAAGAGGAGGATTGGTACTAGTTAGCTCAGAGCTAATCTTCCTCAAAAAAAAAAAAAAAAAAAAGATAGACACTGGGATTCGAAAAAGGTCTAGCATGTAAAAATGAACTGTTTTATTACCCACCCCAGCAGGCAAAGTGAAAACTTATAAATCACATGTATGATCTTATTTCTGGTTCAATTTAACCAACATTTATTGAACCTTTAATATGTTAGGTACTGTTCTAAACCCTGGTGATATAAAGATGAAAAGGGCATGGATCCTATCATCTAAGAAGTAAGGGCAAAGGCCTTCTGGCGGAGGGAGCAGGACACATTGGAAGGGCTGCACAGGAGAGGAGGAGTTGTTCTGCACAAGTCCACTGTATAGCTGACTTAGTAGTTAGTGTCTATTTATTTTGCAAAGGGAAGAATGTCTGTATTTTTGGCTAGGTAGCCAGGTGCTATAGTTTTGGGGCACGAGTTTTTCTTTTTTGCTGCTTGTAAAGTTCCATTGCATTACTCTATTTGACCTTTTTGGTGTGCAATATATTTATCAAACATTTTTTGAGCACCTGATGTATGTAGTGTCCTATCAGGTTGGAGTGGAGAATACGAAGACTAACATATAGTCTCCTCCTTTTATCAGTTCATGATTTGAGCAGATAGATGGCGTAGAGCTGTAAAGGAATTTAGTTATAAGCGCTACAATTAAAGTAAAACCAACATGCTGTGGGTATCACTGTTCCTTACTGGACATTGCAACTGGCCAGGCCAGTATTACATCTGTTTTATAGATGAGGCATGAGAGAATGAGTGAGTTGCCCCTAGATGAGTTAGTAGCAGAACTGTCTCCAACCCATATCTTTTTATGCTTGGCTTTTTTTTGGAGGAAGATTAGGCCTGAGCTAACTGCTGCCAATCCTCCTCTTTTTGCTGAGGAAGACTGACCCTGAGCTAACATCCGTGCCCATCTTCCTCCACTTTGTATGTGGAATGCCTACCACAGCATGGCTTGCTGAGTGGTGCCATGTCCACACCCAGCATCTGAACCAGCGAACCCTGGGCTGCGGAAGTGGAACTTGCGCACTTATCTGCTGCGCCACCGGCCGGCCCCTGTACTGGCTTCTTATTAATACTTACTTTGTGTGTGTGTGGGGGGGGTAGGGGTCATTTGAATGGATTGGATAAAAAATAACCATAATAATGACAACAACTGACATTTATTGAACCCTTATGTGCCAGGTACTCTGCTAAGAGTTTTACGTAATTATCTGATTTAATCTTAGAAAATATGAGGTAAGTATTGCTATTATACATGAGAAAATCAAGACTCAGGGATAAGTGCTTAAGAACAACTATTCAGTATTAAGCCAAGACTCAGACTGAAGTGGTCTGAAATTTTTGTTGGAGAGAAAGTAACTGCATGTTGGCAACGTACATACCAGTGTCTTATGGTTTTTGAAGTCCGAATTTATCAAAACTTTTGTTGAGATATTTACATTAATTATATATTCAGTTAGACAGTTTTAAACATTTGTTTCATCATTAAAACATTAATTATTTAAATGATAGACCTGATTTCCAATGGATTGTGGAAATTTATCATCACTCTATAGATGTTAGAATCTCTGATACCAGCTTGTTTTTTAATTGCTTTTTTTTTCTTTGGTTGATTTGAAATAGATCAGAGGTTGGATCTATGCAAACTTGGGCCAAATGACAATGATACTGTTAGAGGACAGATAGTAGGTAAGTGTGGGATTTTTTTAACTTGACCTAAACTCTAAATGCCTTTAAATCAAGGTACAATGCATGAATTAAATATGAGTCATGTAAAATACTTTGAACAGTGGAGTCAGGATCCAGGCTAACTTAATTTTTTAAAAAACTTAATAATCTAAAAAAAAAAATATGCAGGCTCCTAATGTTGTGAAGAACTAGTGGTCCTTTGGGAGGGAATTCTTTTTAAGTGCACAGGTATAGTAGAGCACCGAGACGGACTTTATAGATGGTATTAAAGTTTTCCGAAAATAATTCTCAAACTGATTTTCGAGTAAAAAGAGAATATTCTGTTGAACTCTTTGTTTAAGATTTTGTAGTTTTAAAATAATCTGTGATAATTGAAAAAACTAGAATGAGGAATGGTAGGATAGCACTGATTGGAAAAAGAGGAAATTGTTACCTTACTTGTAAGGCCCTTGGTGTGCTAATGGGCTATCTTGAATTGACTCAGAGGGAAAGACTTTGTGGAGAATTTCCTGAGATTTCTCCTAAGAATTGGTGAATTGAGGTTTGATCAAGATACATAGTGTGATAGGACATTGAGGTGGGCTTGTTTGAGACTTCTTCAATTAAAGAAGAAAAATGCAGTTGGAATCTTACCACTTCACTATAGAGCAGAATTAAGAGTAAAAAGATTTTATTATGGACCCAGCAGAGAGGTTTTAGTTACTGGAGGTACTTAGAGGACTTGATTTTACAAGGCAATGAAGTAGGTTCATAGGGAATTGCCAGGGTAGCAACATAACAAAGCCCTATTGTGGTTATCACAGGGAAGTATCTACACTGTGGCATTATTGATGATTCCTGTCATATTTAGGTTGAAAAGAGAGTAAAAAACATCTCAAAAATAAATCCTGGCGTACAAGATTTTTAAATGTAATTGTTCCTACTTTATGTGATTTGGCCTATTATGTAATGCTTGCCAACTAGTATCTAGTAGTAACAAAACGGTTTTACTAGGGTGTAAATTTGCATTTATAGAAATAGCAGACTTTCCTTTGTTAGCTGTTAAAAATATACCTACTGAGGTATACTATATAAAAAAAAGAATATTTTACTTTATTATTTTTTATTTATTTATTTATTTTTAAAGATTTTATTTTTTTCCTTTTTCTCCCCAAAGCCCCCCAGTACATAGTTGTATATTCTTCGTTGTGGGTCCTTCTAGTTGTGGCATGTGGGACGCTGCCTCAGCGTGGTTTGATGAGCAGTGCCATGTCCACGCCCAGGACTCGAACCAACAAAACACTGGGCCGCCTGCAGCAGAGCGCGTGAACTTAACCACTTGTCCACGGGGCCAGCCCCGAATATTTTACTTTAAAGTATGTCTCTGTATTTTTTTTTTTTATAAATTTTTTTTTTTTTAAGATTTTATTTTTCCTTTTTCTCCCCAAAGCCCCCTGGTACATAATTGTGTATTGTTAGTTGTGGGTCCTTCTAGTTGTGGCATGTGGGATGCCGCCTCAGCATGGCCTGATGAGTGGTGCCATGTCTGCACCCAGGATTCGAACCCGTGAAACCCTGGGCCGCTGCAGCAGAGTGCACGAACTTAACCACTCTGCCACAGGGCTGGCCCCTCTGTATTTTCTTTTCAATTTGAAGGCCTTATGTAAATTTGATGTTTATATTAGAGGCAGGCTGGACTCAAACATTATGCTTTTATGATCCTGCAATTCCATCATTTAAGAACAGAATGAGTTCTAGTTCATGCTGAATTACACCTTTACAAATAATTATAGCATCTTTGTATATAACATCTTTTTGAAAAATGGAGAAAAGTACGCTAGAACACTAACTTTTAAAAAAATGTATCTCCTTCTAGTATTTGTATATACATATATGTGTATATTTTTATGATTTTAATTATAGTGAACATAAAATTTTTATTTTGCTTTCTTCCTGTTAAAAACAAAATAGTGTTTATAATTATTATTATTGTTTATAATTAATGATTTTTAAAGGATAATTATATCAATATATCATAAATTAATCATTGAACTTTATCATGTTTTGCTATTATAACATTGGAACTTACATCCATTTTTGTACACTTAGCTTTATCCTGTTTTTGATTGTAACCTTAGAAAAAACTCTCTTAAATTGACTTGCTCGATTCAAGGGTTACAAATCTTTTCCCTTGCATTTAAAACTGTTATTTAAGGCCGCCCTGTGGCCGAGTGGTTAAGTCTTCGCGCTCTGCTTCTGCGGCCCAGCATTTCACTGGCTCACATCCTGGGCGCGGACATGGCACCGCTCTTCAGGCCATGCTGAGGCCGTGTCCCACATGCCACAACTAGAAGGACCCACAACTGAAAAATATACAACTGTGTACTGGGGGGATTTGGGGAGAAGAAGAAGAAGAAGAAAAAAAAAGAAGATTGGCAACAGTTGTTAGCTCAGGTGCCAATCTTTAAAAAAAAACTTATTTTATTCTTTCCATCTCTTCTGAAGTTTTGCTTTTTGTTATCAAATCAAATAAAAATACAGAGAACCTAAGAAGCACCCATAACATGGCGTCATTGTCACCACTTTGATGTATACCTTTTCTCCATGTTTTTACAAATGAGATTATACTATAAAGATTAAATAACCTGTTTTAATCTGTCCTAAATATCTTTTTTTTGTCCATGGGTACATTTCTGTAGCATTTTTAAGGTTGTATGGTAGTCCATAGTAGGCAAATAATTAGTTTAATCAGTCCCTTATTGTTAGACATTTAGGTTGTTTCTGATGTTTTAATATTATGAACAGTGCTCTGATAAACATAGAGTTTCTGTGATGCATCTTATGTATTGCTAGACGTAGGCTACACAATCCCACCTAAAAATTGCTTAGGTGTGTTGTAATGCAGCATTCTGGAGATGTGCCTTGAAGCTCCTGAAGTCCTTAACTTTGAACCTTAACATTATTCTTAAAAAAAGCTACTGAGAAAATAACATTGTTTCTACTGTGATTGTATTTCGGTAAGCATTTCACTTTAATTTTCTGTATAAAAACTGATTAATATAGTTTTCTAGTATAATTTTCACGTAATGTTTTGTTTACATTTGCTGAGGAGGTGTATTACAGTGTTGTCTCCTATAAATTAGGTAAAGGAGTAATGTGTTAAACTTTCTGATTTTTCAAAATTTTTACAGAGCTGAAATATTTCAGAATTTTGAGATCTTTCCTGGAATGAAGAGTCTTAAATGTCATACTTTGTATAGTAATCTGTTAATTCTTTAAGCAGTTAGGTTATAGTCGGGTTTGCTTATCACTTCTGTCTCTTGGGAGAGTTGCCAAAAATAGAATTAAAGAATACTAGAGCAGCAAGGAAGGACTTCAGGCATATCGTTTAGCCTAATTTCTTCATTATTCAGATTGGGATTATCTAAACCTCAAAGATGTTAAGTGTTTTGTTCAAGGCGATAATGCTAAACTAGTTGTTAGTGCCAGGTCTGGCGTTCACAGCTCTTGGCTTCCAAGTTTATAGTGGTAGTTTAATACTACACTGCATGATGATGTACTGCTTTAACTAATGGAATCCAAGTATTGCCCTATTGCTAGAATCTAGTGTATTTTTTTTTTAAAGATGGATCAAGAATTAAACCGAAGTTAATGTGAACTTTTCAAATTTCTCTGTACATGAATATACCTTTCATATGTTATGCCTCTACTTAAGTGCAATAGTAGCTTTGCGTTGTCCCATTACGATGTTGAAAAAAGGAATTAGACTCTCCGTCATGAACAAGATAAAGTGTAGAAAACCTTAAAATTCTAATATCACTCCTAAAGGGAAAAATCTCATGGAAAAAGAAATGACAGAATATAGTAGAAACTAAAGAGTTCATTCTAAAGGATTAAAATAAGCTAAGCCAGAGATCTTTTAAAGGTACACATTTTAAATTGTAATAATTCTTTCTACTGCTATTGCTCTTAGAAATCTTTCTGTTGTTTAATAGTTAGTCTTCAGTCCCGAGACCGAATAGGCACAGGAGGACAAGTCGTGGACTGCAGCCGTTTGTTTGATAATGATTTACCAGACGGGTAAGCTGAAGTCATTAGAGAAATACATCGGTAGTACCCCTGAAAGAATGAGAAATAAGTTGGTCTTTACTGTATACTTAACTTTAGAAATTTGCTAACCAGTGCCAGAACCTAGTTTTCCTTGTTCTTGGAAAATTGCTGAGGGATCTTGTCACAACAAATTTGTAAAATAATCCATGAATTAGATATTTTAAATTTGTTTTTTAAGAGTTTTGACTAGGAGACAAATTTCTTGACAAATGTAACTCTCCTGTAAATATTATATATTTAAAAGAAAACTTTTTCACTTGATTAAATTATTCACAACAGGGCATATAGGGTGCTGAATTTGAGGTATTGCTCTATTTAGAGGGATGGAATAGAGAATTTCTGTAATAGTAATTATAATAATTAACATTTATTGGGCATGCATGTGTCAGATACTGTTATAAGCACTTTATATAATACCTTATATCATTTAATTCTCATAGCCTGTGATTCTAGAATTAGACCACCTGGGTTCTAATCTTTACTCTTCTGTTTATGAGCTTTATGAATTTAATCAATTTCTTTAACTTCTGTAAGCTTTGGTGTATATGTATTTATAAAAGAGGATGATGATAATAGTACGTATGTCATAAATTATCGTGAGGATTAAATGATATCATTTGTGAAAAGTACTTAGCACAGTCTTGCATATAGTTAGTGCTTAATAAATAATTAGCTATAATTATTACTACTGCTACTACTATTGTTACCCTTATTCATTTCACGGATTAAAAAAACAGATTCAGAGAAGTTAAGTAACTTGCTGAAGGCCACATAGCAGAGGGCAAAACTGGAATGCAAATTTAAGCCTTGATTCCGAAGCTCCTGCTTTTTATAGCTGCTCTCTATCTTTGTTTGATACTAGTTCTGACACTTTTCTGATTTTATTTTTAACTTTCTAAGTATTTTTGATTAATTTCAATAGAGGTATTGTTTACGTACAATAAATTATATCCATTTAAAGTGTATGATTGGTCAAGTTTTTACTTAAATTATTTTTGGCATGAAATTTTACTTCCAAGCTTTGGTGTTTTCTCATTTTGTTTAAACTGTTAAAAATTGCTATAATTTAAGTCTGTTTGTAGATCACTTTAGCTTCTTGATAGATCTGCTAACTTTTATGGATGTGAAGTAGGTTATGGTACTTTTGAAGGGGAAGTTTAGGATGTAATAACTAGTCAATATTGAGACAATTATAATACTGTAGGCTTTATTATTTCTAAACTTGGTCTATATTATTGAACTGTAATTGTAATCACAGGGGGAAAAAACCTCTTAGCATCTCTTTCTTTTTTTTTTGTGAGGAAGATTGTCTCTGAGCTGACATCTGTCCCAGTCTTCCTCTATTTTGTATGTGAGATGTGACCACAGCATGGCTGGATGAGCAGTGTGTAGGTCCCCACCCGGGATCTGAACTGGTGAACCCCGGTCTGCTGAAGCAGAGTGCACGAACTTAACAACTACGCCACTGGGCCAGCCCCATTTTATTTTCTATTTTTTAAGGCCTCCAAACCTCTGCCAATGTTTTGGTGGAAATAGTAACATTACCACATTTCTGTAGTCATTTGCCTATTTCTTTGTTACATGAATTAATAAAATACTGAGGAAGAAGTGGCATTCTTGCTTTTTAAAAAATTAGTTTCGGTAGGCTAGATGCTTTTATGTACTTTTCCAGTTTAATTTAAAAAATTATGTGTGAGTTTTATTTTTAGTATAGTCCTTTTTACCTACTAAATTCTGGAGAAATCAATTAAGCATTGTTGACGTTACTGAAAAATTCTGAGTTTGGCTGGTGGAAAATATTGGTCACACCTTGGTATAAATACTTCAGAAGGTTCAAACTTCCAGGAGATACATTGTACGGTTCTAAAAGAAGTTGAAAAAATTCCTATAATCTGTGTATTGATATTTCATTTTGTCATTCCTGATTCATAACAGCAGATGTCTTCCTGGCTTGGTTATTGCACTAAAAACATCCTGTATCCAGCTTCTTATTAATGCCTCATCTCTTGATGTTTTATTTAAGCTGGGAAGAAAGACGAACTGCCTCTGGAAGAATCCAGTATCTAAACCACATAACAAGAACTACGCAGTGGGAACGTCCAACACGGTAAGAACATGCAAGTATCGTCCCATGGTCTATGCTGTTCGCCCTGCTGAAGTCATCCCTTTCTGTTTATCTGTCAGCTTTTCTTGGTTTATACTGCTCTAGATCAGTAGATCCTACAGCAAGTGCCATTATTATTTTTAAAAAGTAATTTTCAGTAAAGATTATTTAGCAGGTCATTCTGTTATTGTAGCTTCAGGGCCTGCAGTGGTACTCAATAAATATTTATTAAATAAGTTAAATGAATAAATTGAGAAATCATCTTATTTTTGGGACTCCTAAAAATTTTTTTTTTGAGTCCGTTATTGTAATGGCTGTAACAAAATACATACACAGGCTCTCCATTTGATCAGTCATGTAGGGGGATGATTATATTATATTGCGTCCAGTAAGGTTTGTGGTTAAGAATCAGATGATCTGAGACCATGTAGTGGGCTCCTGACTTAGAGTGGGGGTGAGGGGATGGTAGAACTTGCAAAGACGACTCTGAAGGAGGGGAATCTGTGAACCGAATCTTGAAGAATGTTGAAATTTAGCCAGGTGAGGGGAAGGTGATGAAAGGTGTTCAAGGCAGTGGTAACAGCCATCATCCAGTTCACGAAATGGTTATATACCAGGCACTGCACTTAGCATTTGGGCAATAACAGTGAACAAGGCAGAAAGGCCTTCAGAGCTTAGTGTATAAAGCCATGGGGATGCAAGATAATTTTTGGAAACTCCAAGGAAGAGCTTTTTAAGTAACTGAAAATAAATGGGATAAGTGGCTGAATTTTCCTTTTTTTTTTTTTTTCAGTAAGAACAAAGTCTTTTTGCCACCTCTGTTCAGTGTTTGTTTTGCCCCAGTTTGGTTTTTTTCTTATCAGGACTGCCACCAGGCAGAGAACATCAAGTGCTTCTCATTAGTTATACCTACTTTTATTTATTGGAGAGGAATTGCTTAACTCATTGAATCACAGTTTTTCTATTATATTATGATTCTCAGGTAAAAGCTTCGCTTACGTTCCTGTTTTAAAAAATACTTGAGAGTTGCATTTCTAGTAGTAAACTGCCAAGGATTTTATTGAAGTCAAAAGACCCATTTTTATACCTGAGTGTAAATGAATGTATATCTATGTCAGTGTTTTAGTGAAGTCCATTTCCTTGTGACTCATTGGACTGTTAAAATTGACTTTAATTTCACCATGTATAAAGTTGATCGCATTATAAATGTTTCTTTAAAAATTAACTCTTATTATCCTCTTATTTTGGATGACCTCCAGTAGACTGGAAGCTTTTTGAAGAGACAGACTATCTTCTATCCTCTATTCGTTCAATCAATTTTTTTTTTCTGCTTTATCTCCCCAAACCCCCCCGTACATAGTTGTATATCTTAGTTGCAGGTCCTTCTAGTTGTGGGATGTGGGATGCCACCTCAACGTGGCCTGACAAGTGGTGCCATGTCCGCGCCCAGGATCCGAACCCTGGGCTGCCACAGCGGAGCGTGCCAACTTAACCACTCGGCCACAGAGCCGGCCCCCGATCAATTTTTTTTCATTCAATAAATATTTATTGAGCTACTCTTACATATATGCCAAACACTATTCTAGGTGCAGAAGATATATATAGTGGGGAACAAACTAGGCAGACTCTTCTCTCAAATATTCTGGTGGGGGAAGACAGTCAAAAATAAGGATACAAATAAGAAAAATATGAGAAATAATTGCTATGCTGAGGAAGTAAGGTGATGTACTCTCAAATGCCTGGGTGATTACTTTAGATTTGAAGGTCAGGAAGGACCTGTTAGAGATGACATTTAAGCTTAAGCTATGATTTGAATGACAAAAAGGAACCTGGCCTAGGGAGAAAAGGAGAAAAAAGCATTCTAGGTGGAAGGAAGAGCTACTCTGCAGCACTAAGGGTAGAACGACCGTGGCACGTTCAAGGAGCAGGAAGAGTGTCAGTGTGGCAGAAGCAGAGTGGGAGAATGCTGGGAAATCAGGTCTGAGAGGTAGCTGTAGCTGAGTCAAGTGCAGTAGTCTCCCCTCATCCTCGGGGGACATTCCAAGGCTCCCAGTGGAGGCCTGAAACAGTGGATAGTACCAAATCACATACATATTATGTTTTTTCCTGTGCATACATACCTGTGCTAAAGTTTAAGAATTTGGCACAGAAAGAGAGTGAAAACAGTAACTTCTCTTTGGCATATCTGAACTGCCAGCATCACTACTCTTGTGCTTTGGGGCCATTATTAAGTAAAATAAAGGTTACTTGAACACAGGCACTGCAGTACCAGACAATCTGATAACCAAGATGTCTAGGTGACTAACACGTGGGAGGAACAAAGGGATGATTTGTGGGACAGAGCGAGATGGCACAAGTTTTCATCATGCTATTCAGAACGCTGTGCAATTTGAAACTTAGGAATGGTTTATTTCTGAAACTTTCCATTTAATATTTTTGGACTGCGGTTGACCATGGGTAACAGAAGGAGCAGAAAGCAAACCCATGGATAAGGGAGGACTACTGTAGTGCTTTGTAAGCTAGTGCTAACATCTACAGATGTGTGGATTTCATATAAAATGTAAGATCGATATAAAATGATGAAATACGTGATTGACAATCTGCTTATCACTTGAGTTTCTTTGGTGCTTAGAGGCTTTAGGCTTTTATTCAGAGTTCTTGAAATCATTATATTTATATTAATCATTACATTTTCTTATAAGTGATTGTTACTGCAGTACGTACATTGTCTAGAGAACTCTCCTTTTGATATCTGAGTTGAGTAACTTTTTTTCCCCTGTTACTTTTCAATAGACCGGCATCTGAATATTCTAGTCCTGGCAGACCTCTTAGCTGCTTTGTTGATGAGAACACTCCAATTAGTGGAACAAATGGTGCAACATGTGGACAGTCTTCAGATCCCAGACTGGCAGAGAGGAGAGTCAGGTCACAACGACATAGAAATTACATGAGCAGGACACATTTACATACTCCTCCAGACCTACCAGAAGGCTATGGTATGACAACTAGCAGAGGAAAAATAAAGTGTGGTGTACTGATTTTAGCTTGCTAAGAAAGCCAGAAAATCAACTTTTAAAGAAGTTATTAATCTGGGTTTAGGGATGCTGCATGAAAATAAGAGTAAATGTAAAACCTCCCAACTTTGAAAAGTCTTTGAAGTGCTAGAAGACTGCCTAACCGACAGTTTGACCTTGGGCTGGTCATTTAACCTCAGCCATTTTACTTTTTTATATTGAGATGAGATGAATGATTCCTCTCCTTAGCACAACGGTATTATGAGGAGCATATGAAACAATGTGAGGCTACTTTGTAAACAGGCACTGTATGAAGGGAGATAGTATTGTTATTGATAATGGTGATCTGAAGTCAGACCTGCAATGTAATTTTCTAGACATGTGTATTTAGAAATTTCTAAAGCTTTTTTCTGATGGTATTTTATATCATATTTATATTGTCTATAATTTTGGGTTATCTGAGTGATTGGGTTATTGTTGTAAATGATTTAGTCACTTCTATGTTTGTGTAAAATTATTATAGTCTTAGATAATTTCCTGAATTGTAGAATTTCATGTGGAAGATGACATGAATCTTCTCCTGGTTGAATACAGAACTTTCTAAATTACTCACAGCTTGTGAACACTCTTTGGGATAGTACGAACTCGGTTCAGTTGTTCTCGCCTTTCTTGCTAAAATCTAACAAAGTTGCATCCTTTCCCTCCTGAGAGCCTGTAGATAAACTATTCTGGGCTGATGGTGACACCTAATGACCAACATTGGGAATTGCCTGATCTAACTTGTATTTTATTTTTACTCTAGAATATTTTTTAAACTGTTGCACAAATGCATGATGCTAACTTTATTTTTTAAGGTATTTTAACTCTCTAATTAAAAAAAGAAAACCCACTAATTTGTCCATTAACTGTGCTGTGCCACGCAGGTTAACTTATAGCACAGTGATTAGAGTATGGGCTTGGAAGACAGACAGACCTGGGTTCATATCCTGGCTTTGCCACATGTTAGTTGTGTGACCCTGGGCACATTATTTAACCTCTCTGAGCCTCAGTTTTATATTCTATAAAATGGGGAAAATAATAGTACCAACCATATAGGTTTGTTGCCAGGAATAAATAACTTCATGTAAAGTGCCTGATACTGTGTCCTGCATAGAAAGCACTTAGTACATTTTAGCTGTTATTATTAATGTTCAGAATGTAGAATAAAGTATCTCCTGCCATTTCTCTTTAATTGAGATAATAAGGCAAGCTGTTTGAAGTGGGGATGATTATACTTTTACAATATTTGTATGATTTGGATTAAAAAAAACTTTGTGCAACCAAAACATAGGAATAAAGTGGATACCAAGGCTGAAATTAGTGCAGCTGTCATCTGTAACCAATTATAAACATTTTATGGTTATAATTTTTAAAAGTTTAAAATTTAAGTTGATTAACTTTATTGTAGGTTTATAAGCAATTAAATTTATACTAATAAATATTAGCAATAGTTTTATCATTTTATATGTGGGAATTTTTCATTAGATTTTATTTAAGGAATAGTGGGTTTTGTTGCTTAAAATCATAAATAAAGACTAAAACCACCACTGCAGAAACCCTTTCACAGATTCCTTCTCTTTGCCCTGGCTTCTTCACTCTCTCAAGGACTTTGAGTTAATTTCCCCTTTGCCTTTTTCTCCCTGATATGCACACTTGCTCTTTAGTCCTCCTCTTTCTAACTTGGTTATTTTTCCATCTTTGCCCTTTTTTGTTTTTTTGAGGAAGATTAGCCCTGAGCTAACATCTGCCACCCATCCTCCTCTTTTTGCTGAGGAAGACTGGCCCTGAGCTAGCATCCCTGCCCATCTTCCTCTACTTTGTATGTGGGACACCTGCCACAGCATGGCCTGACAAACAGTGCGTAGGTCCGCACCCGGGATCCAAACCGGCAAAGCTTGGGCCGCTGAAGCAGAACGTGCAAAAACTTAACCGCTGTGCCACAAGGCTGGCCCCCATCTTTGCCCACTTTTGACTATAGATTGTCTCTGCTATATTCCATCTTTTTTGCTGTTGTTTGAGTCCAAATGTAGTCTTGAGAATACACACTCTTAAGAAAAGAAAAAAACATAAGTTTTTAAAATAAAATTAGGCATAATGTAAAAGCATTACCAGCTTGCAACCCTTTGGCAGTTGCTGCAAGTCTCCCCAGAATCTCCCCAAAGTTGGCTAGGCTTTTTCTCTGAGCCTTTTTTGGTTTCCCTCAGGCTTCACATTTAAGACAAATAAGAGATCGTTTCATCATGTTTGTTTTGTTTAATTATTGGTACTGTGACAGTCTTGTTTTCTGTTTTCCATTGCAACATGGTTAGTAGTTGAGCCACATTCTAAGTGTAGTTGGCTTTTAGATAGCTGGCCTGTGACCCTCATCACCATTTAGAAGATTGTTTCCAGGAGAAAATGTATTCTGGGTTCAGAACAAATGATTTGTAAAGCAACTTTTTGTAATAAAATGGATTGGTAATTTGGAGAATTTACCTATTAATATAATATCATCCTAGTGTCTATATCTGTCTTTGATTTGGACATTCTAAATGTGTTTTTATTATTAGTGTTTCTTAATTTTACAGAACAGAGGACAACACAACAAGGTCAGGTATATTTCTTACATACTCAGACTGGTGTGAGCACATGGCATGATCCAAGAGTGCCTAGGTAAGAACATATTCTAAATACTCTTCATACCATTGAATATCCATTTTACTTAAGATTTCTTTATTTAATCTTTAACTTCTTAAAATAGCTTATGTAAAAGTTTGGCTCTTTTTGATAGTCATTTCAGTTTGACATTTAGTAGAAAGTCTACCTACTTCTCTGCGATTCCACCCGAGTGTCCCACCCCACAGCTAGTGCCCGGTCCCTCTCCCTGCTCACCCTTAAAAAAGTTGGGGAAGGGGCCAGCCCTGTGGCTGAGTGGTTAATTAAGTTCACGCGCTCCACTTTGACAGCCCAGGGTTTCGCTGGTTCGGATCGCGAGCATGGACACGGCACTGCTCATCAGGCCATGCTGAGGTGGCATCCCACACAGCACAACCAGAGGTGCTCACAACTAGAATATGCAACTGTGTACTGTGGGGCTTTGGGGAAAAGAATAAAAAAAAAAAATTGCGGCAAAAACATGGATCTTTTAGGAGTTTGAAAATTGACCTGGAGAAAAACATACAAATCTTATAAAAACATACATACGCTTTTTTTTAAAGGGTAGTAAATTGATATTTTTATTTCTGGTTAGACTTGTTTTAAGAAGTTTTATTTTTAACCTTATATAAGTGTATTCAATTTTCTCTCGTGTTCATTAATAAAGTTTCATTTTATTGTGGAAAAAGAAAGAACCTAATTAAATTAAATTTTTTTGTCCCTTTTTTTTTTTAAGTTTGGCACCTGAGCTAACAACTGTTGCCAATCTTTTTTTTTTTCTGTTTTTTCTCCCCAAATCCCCCCAGTACATAGTTGTATATTTTTTAGTTGTGGGTCCTTCTAGTTGTAGCATGTGGGACATTGCCTCAGTGTGGCCTGATGAGTGGTGCCGTGTCCGCACCCAGGATCTGAACCAGTGAAACCCCGGGCTGCAGAAGCAGAGTGCACAAACTTAACTGCTTGACCACAGGGCTGGCCCTAAATTTTTAAAAAATGCCCAAACTTGTACATTTGAACTGCAGGCATTGTTGAGTGCATTTATTAACCAAAATGTCAGCTGTCTTAACTTCAAGAAGATGGAATGACACACAAATCAGTTTAGTGATTCAACATAACTTTTGATACGTTTTAGTATAAATAAGTTTTTCAAACACTAATTAGCTATTTGGAGTTATTTTCTAGTGACCAGATACAGAGTGCCAAGTAGTCCTGTTGAAGCTGCAAAAAAAGGATGAGTTCTAAATTAAATTCTAAATGTGCTTTGTAAACTGCACACGTAATACATAAAATAATACATTTTTTTTGTATTAAGTGCAACATCCCCCTCCAAAAAAAAAAAAGGATTCATGGAAGGTCAAGAGATAGTTTTCTGCCTAAAGCTTATATTCAGAGCTCTACATGTCAAGAATCATGTATTTGAATCAAAAACAGATGTGAGTGACTAGCTGATCTTGGATTGCTTTGATACTCTCTAGTTATTCATAAATAAAATTCTCATAATGAAAATGTTTTACTTGGTGATAGAACTTAATGAGAATCTTTTGAGGTGGCAGCTAAGGAAATGTGCTATTATTTATTTTATCAAGGTTGCCATTTCTGTGTCTTGATAATATAAGCTGTTAGTTTAAAAAAAGTAATGGAGAGTAAATTTTTTGTGTGTGAAGAAGACTGGCTCTGAGCTAACATCTGTGCCAGTCTTCCTTTGTTTTATGTGGGATGCTGCCACAGCGTAGCTTGATGAGTGGTACTAGGTCCGTGCCCGGGATCCGAACCAGGGAACCCTGGGCCGCTGATGTGGAGCGTGTGAACTTAACCACTATGCCACTGGGCCGGCCCCAGGAAATTTTTGTTTTATTAATAAGCTCACTTAAAAAATCCAAGGGCCTGACTTTTGGAAATAACAGTTTTGTTATGTAAGTTATGAAAAGAAGTGTTTTGGATTCTGTTAATCAAATTGAAGGTCAATAAAGAGCTTTTCTATAAAATAAAATCATTGCAAGGAGATGTATAGAAGAAAAATGATTTTTTTTAAATTAAATGATTTACAATAGTGAAAAAGTCATCTTGAGCTATCTGTTGGAAGAATAGTATGTTAGCTGGCATTCAAAGCTGAAATTGAGAGAGATTTTGGCACCATTGCTGGTAATGTTCTTACTCCTAAGGAAATGTCAGTTTTCCATTAATGAGTATAGGGTTTCTATAAAGGTTTAAGAGTATTTCATGTTGAGTATTGAATAATGACTTTATGAAATAATACTCAGGATTATTTTTCTTTTCTTTAGTTTCTCTGCTCCAAATTATCTTAAAAATGTATATCATAGGGGCCAGCCCCGTGGCCGAGTGGTTGGGTTCGTCTGCTCTGCTTCACTGGCCCAGGGTTCACTGGTTTGGATCCTGTGGGTGGACCTGTGCACTGCTCGTCTGGCCATGCTGTGGCAGTGTCCTGCATGGGGGACCTGGAGTGACTTGCATCTGGGATATACAGCTATGTGCTGGGGCTTTGGGGAGAGGGAAAAAAAAGAGGAAGATTGATAACAGATGTTAGCTCAGGGCCAATCTTCTTCACAAACACACAAATTATATTGTATCTTTTGTTTTGGAGCATCCTTTAGTAAATATTTAGCCTTTTGTATGGAAGATCTTATATCAAAGCAGGCTATAAATATTTAGGTTCTATTAAAATATCGTCACTATTCAATCAAAGACATTTATAAAATTGTGTAACTCAGACACTTTAAAACTAACTTTAAAGATCAGTAAACTTAGATTTATCAGAGAAGTCCCATTTTATCATGTTTTGCATTTCTCTTTAAAACAATGATTAATGCTTTGTTATGCATTATTTTGCATACTGACTGTGTAGTCTTGAAATACAGATCTGCATTACGTTTTATGGCTGCATAGAATTCTATTTTTCTTTAATTTCCCAATTGCCCGTAAAGATTGTTTCCAGTCTTCTGCTTTTTTTTTTTTTAAAGATGGGCACCTGAACTTACATCTGTTGCCAATCTTTTGTTTTTTTTCCTCTTCTTCTTCTCCCCAAAGCCCAGTACATAGTTGTATATTCTAGTTGCAGGTCCTTCTGGTTGTGCTATGTGGGATGTTGCCTCAGCATGGCTTGGTGAACGATGCTAGGTCCACACCCAGGATCTGAACCAGCGAAACCCTGGGCCACCAAAGCACAGCACTCGAACTTAACCATTTTTCCATGAGGCTGGCCCCCAGTTTTCTGCTCTTTTAATCAGTTCTTTAGAGCTCTCCCATGTATGACTATAGATTTATAAAATTCTAAGTAAAATGATATAAAATAAAATTCTACATTACATCAAAAGAATTATTCACGCTTTGATTTCAATAATTGCTTTTCTAAAAGTTTCATTAAAAAAAATCTATCTGTTCATTCTTAATAATCTCTCATTGATAGTTTGTCTTTATAATTGTTCCCTTTTGTTTTTTTAATGTTGCATATCCTAGCTGTTCTGTCTGATCTCTGACAGGGCTTGGAGATCTAATCATGTGGTTTATGGTTTTCACTGAGACTCTGTCATCCTGACTTTCCCTTCTGAAGTGTTTGGTGATCTTTGATTTTGAGTTTGATCTTAATTGGTTGGAGTTATGTGGACCTAAAGTGGAAATTTAGGTTGTTTTCCTGGAAGCACTTCATCCGCCCTTTGAGTTCTCAGTTTAGTGGGGAAGTTCCATATTTCCTTTTCCAACCTTGCTGCTGGCCTGGGGCTGAGTTCCCTAATTAACAACTACCCTCCAGCAGCCCTGCTCATCTGCCTGCTGCCACTTGGGTACTAGCTCCAGCTCAGTTCACTTTTTAAAAAAAATTTGAGGAGGATTCTTGGAACTTTTTCCTTTGCCTCTTTTGAGACTAGCAGAGTCTCAAATAGTGTGTTCTTTCCAAATATTAGTTGTTCTGTACCAGAAGAATCTCTTGGAACACCTATAAGCAGAAAGTCAAAATCATTGTTTCAACAAATCTGTGGGTGCTTATGTGTGTCCCTCATCTGTCTCATTATGACCACAAAGAGGTTATTTCAGGAAAAGTCTTTTTCTGGTTTAGTTTTTAAAACATGATTTTGATGAGATTTGTCTTTATAATTATCTGTTATAGTTTGTTTACATTAGACATGCTGCTTTCTTTAAAGTCCTGTAAATGTTTGTCTACATGTAATAGTGTTTTAAGAATGTGTAATATAATAATAATAATGATCTTTGGTCCATTAGAAGTCTTTTTGCTTTTCTTATTGTAGCAGTAAGCCTTAGGGCATTCTTCGTTAGGCGTCTTAAAATTCTTCATTCACCAGCTTTATAGATTTCAAAATTCAAAATGGAGCAGTTATCCTTTAAAAGATGTATTGTGATTGTTTTCGGGATTGTAATTTCAGTAACATTCCCAGTTTTGCTTCGTTGGAAAGTTTAAAATTAATCATGGAATGAATATTTATTTACACAAATTTTATGGTGTGGTAAAGAAAAATAATTGAAGGGAATTTTAGAAAACATTTAATTCCTATATCACTGACATTTATAAAATAGTATTTTGTCAGACAAGTATTGAAGTACAGTTTATATTGGCAAATGTTGTGATTGCTTTTATAGTAATCTAAAATCTGTATTACATTAAAGCCCAGGAACGAACTTACTAAAAATGTAGGCTATGTGATAAATTTCTGAGCCATTTACGGATTGGGTTTTGAATATGTGAGTTTGTTAAACCATTGGGAATTAAAGATTCCAGCTGAACATCTCAAGTTTCTGAAACAGTATATTTTCTCAGACTTCATGAAATTGTTCTGTGTCATTTATACTTGCTTGGCTCAGCAGGCACAGCAATGAGGTATTTTTTATTTTATATTTGTTTTTCAGGGATCTTAGCAACATCAATTGTGAAGAGCTTGGTCCGTTGCCTCCTGGATGGGAGATCCGTAATACGGCAACAGGCAGAGTTTATTTCGTTGACCATAACAACAGAACAACACAGTTTACAGATCCTCGGCTCTCTGCTAACTTGCATTTAGTTCTAAAGTAAGTTTTTGAAACAATACATGGTAAAATGCAAGTTCTGAACAAGAGAAGACTGAGACATGCTTTTTGTAATAAATGTGATAGAACGTCTGCTCTCTTCAATTATAAATTACTTTTGTTGAACAAAACTTTATATAAGAGTGTGGCAAGTTTTACTCTGATATGAATATTTTAATCCTACTGTGTTTAAGTAGGAACCTGTCCTGAAATGTTAGGAAGAGGATCTGTATCAAAGGTGTACCCTAACACACCTGAAGAGACAGGCTGCTTTATGGGGTGATTTTTTCCCCCTGAGTGCATTAGAAATAGTTCCGGGATAGCTGAATCCATTCTAGAGGATTTTTTGGGTTTTTTTGGTCCTTCATTTTGAGGCCTTCTTTTCCATTTTCAGGACACAAGTCTTTATGAATGAGCTTGTTATGTACCCTTGGATTTTTTTTTAAATCAGCTTTATTGAAATGTAATTGACATGTGATAAACTGTGCCTATTTAAAGTGTACAATTTAAGTTTTGACACATTAGACACCCGTGAAACCATCACCACACTGAAGATAGTGAACATACTCATTATCCCCAAAAGGTTCCTCATGCCTCTTTATAATTCCTCCTGTCTCTTCCTGTGGGACTTCCACCTGTGTTAGTTTTCTAGGGCTGCCGTAACAAAATATCACGCACTGGGTAGTTTAAAACAGAAATTCATTCTCTGACGGTTCTGGAGGCTAGGAGTTAAGAGTCAAGTTCTCAGCAGGGTTAGTTCCTTCCGAAGGCTCTGAAGGAGAATCTGTTCTGTGACTCTGGAAACCTTGCTGTTCCTTGGCTTGTAGACACATCATCCCAATCTTTGTCTGCACTTGGCCTTCTGTGATGTTTCTACCCACAAAACTTCTGACACCAAAATGTGGGTTGTTTCCTCAAAGCTACCAATTCTCCAAGTCTCCAGACACCAAATGGGTGTACAGTGATTGAGTTCCATTTTGACACTACCTGGAGTTGGTGTCAGACCCCACAGGTTAAGGGCTCAGTCCCACAAAACTGTCCCTACTTCAGACGCCAATTGCAAGTCCTAAGCCTCTCACACGTCTTACCAATCGGTTATTAATCAGGCGTACCCATGACCTTCCTCTTGGGTTTGGTAATTTGCTAGAATGGCTCATAGAACTAAGGGAAATGCTTTATTTACTTTTCCCAGTTTGTTATAAAGGATACAACCCAGGAACAGCCAAATGGGAGAGACACATAGGGCAAGGTATGGGGTCAGGGATGCAGAGTTTCCATGCCCTCTCCAGATGGTTCACTTCTTCCAGCATCACAATGTGTTCACCAACCTGGAAACTCTCTCAACACCACCATTTAGGAGATTTTATGGAGATGCCATTATATGGGCATGATAGATTATTAACTCAGTCTCCAGCTCCTCTCCCTTCCCTAGAGGTTGGGGAGATGGGGTTGAAAGTTCCAAGCTTCTAATGAAGCCTCAGTGTTTCTGGCGACCAGCCCCCATCCTGAAGCCAACTAGGAGCCCACCCAGACGTACCTCATTAAAACAAAAAATGCTCCTGTACCCAGGAAACTCCTAGAGACTTAGGAGCTCTGTATCTGGAACTGGGGACAAAGACCAAACATTAGAAAAGACTTCTCTCTCTCACTCAGGAAATTGCAAGGATTTTAGGAGTTCTGTGTCAGGAACCCAGGACAAAGACTAAAGTGTATTTATTATTATGCCACATCTTCTTTCCTGTATGTCTGGATCCAGCTTTCCCTCTTCATTATAAGGATACCAATTAATTAGATTTAGGGCCAGCCTAATCCAGTATGACCTCATCTTAACTTGATTACATCTGCAAAGACCCTATTTCTAAAAGGTCACATTCACAGTACCAAGGGTTAGGACTTCACTGTATCTTTGTGGACACAATTCATTCAATCCACAACACACCCCATCTTCAGCCAACCACTGATTTGCTGTCACTATACATTAGTTTGCATTTCCTAGAGTTTTAGATAAATGGATTTGTACAGTATGTACCCTTTTTGTTTGGTTTGTTTTACCCAGCATAATTATTTGAGATTCATCTCTGTTGTTGTGTGTGTAGTTCATTTCTTTTCACCGCTGTATGGATATACCACAGTTTATTTAGTATCGGTTCATGGACAGTTGGATTGTTTGCAGTTTTGGGCTATGACAAATAAAACTATTACAGACTTTTATTTTAGGTCTTTGTATGGGCATACGCTCTCACTTCTCCTGGATAAATAAATATATGGGAGTAGAACAGCTGCATCATATGATAGATTTATATTTAACTTTTTAAAAATCTGCAGATTGTTTTTCAAAGTGCTTGTACCATTTGACATTCCCACCAGCAGTGTATGAGAGTTGTAGTTGCTCCACATCCTTGCTGAACATTTGGTATAGTTAATCTTATTAATTCTAGACATTCTAATAGGTGTACAGTGGTATCTCTCTGTAGTTTTAATTTGCATTTCTCTAGTAACTAATAATGTTGCGCATCTTTTCATGTGCTTATTTGCCATCTGTATAACTACTTTGGTGAAATTTTTTGCCTCCTTTTTTAAAAAAGTGAGTTTTTTTTAATTTTTGAATTTTGAGAATTCTTTAGATAATTTGAGATACAAGTCCTATTTCAAATATATGCTTTGGGAAGATTTTCTCCTAGTCCGTGACTTGTCTTTTCAATTTCTTAACAGTGTCTTTTGAAGAGCAGAAGTTTTCTTTGAAATTTTGATGAAGTTCAGTTGATCCATTTGTTCTTTTGTGGATTGTGCTTTTGGTATCTTATCTAAGAAATCTTTGCCTAACACAAGTCATTAAAAATTTTCTTCTGTGTTTCAGAAGTTTTATGGCTTTAGGTTTTACATTGAGATCTCTGATGGATTTTGAGTTAAATTTTTGTATCTAGTGTAAGGTATGTCCAAGTTCATTTTTTTTTTTTTTTGCATAGGATTAATACACTAGGGAGTATTTTCTAATATTCTGTTTTGATTTTGTTTATGTGTGTGTGTATTAAAAAAAACCCTTTATTATAATGTTTGTGAGAACAGTAACTAGTGACTTGTAATTTCACTAAAGCTGCATTTTCTCTGCATAGTTTTATGTTTAGGTATAAAATTTGGCCTGGTACATAAGAATCACTATATGTAAAGTAAGCTTGGGTGATCTGTTAGAGAAGAGGAGGTTGTTCTTTATTTCATCACAGCTTTATTGCCCTTTACCCGTAGGTCAGGAGATTGTGCTCTTATCTGTTGTGTATCAAATTAAACTCCAACTGAATCACTCGGTGTCTGCATAGACATCAATAGTGAATTATCTGACTTTTTATTTCCTGGAATTGATTGGAATTAGTAAGTTCATTATATCATAAGGTTCTTTAAAAAAATTCTTAGATGCAACTTACAGTGTTTTTTCCAGGACAAGAAAAATATCTCTAGGCAATGTGACTTTTAAAAATTATTATTATATTTCTCCTATACTTGGGAGATTATTATTTATGTTGTATATATTTTGCCATAATAAAAAGAAAAGTAGTCATTGTGTAAAGCTTTTAGACTTGTTTGTAAAGTGCTCATTACTCTGTGCCGGTAACTTACACGTGACCTCCCACATTCTTGTGGTCTAGACGGTAGTGTGTATAGGAGGAGTCCCTGCCAAGCTGCTAGCTCAAATGTTTGTTTCTTCCAGAGAGACAGGCTCTAGATAACAGGCATAGGGTTTGGCATATGCCTGAGTTTTAAAATGGGTGATGGTAAACTATGCAAAAGAAAATGGAAGTGGTATTTGAGACATTTCTTCTCAGTAGCTGTATAAAGCTTTATGGATAAAATTCCATTATCCAATTCCATAAATTCATATGGATTCTGAGAAACTTTGGAGAGAGTTTATTGTTGTCAAAAATGTCAAGCCAAGAATATAATAAGGCCTGGAAATGATATAGCTAGACTTGTTTCATAGTATGATGTATTTTAACCATCTAATAGCAGTCTTTTGTACTTAAAATACTTTAATATTTCTGTTTACTTTTAGTCGGCAGAACCAATTGAAAGACCAACAGCAACAGCAAGTGGTATCGTTATGTCCTGATGACACAGAGTGTCTGACAGTCCCACGATACAAGCGAGACCTGGTTCAAAAACTGAAAATTTTACGGCAAGAGCTCTCCCAACAACAGCCTCAGGCTGGCCATTGCCGCATTGAAGTTTCCAGGGAAGAGATTTTTGAGGTAAACTTACAAGTCTTATAGAGAAAAATTAAATTTCAGTGTTTTACTCTGTTTTCCAAGAATATTTCTGGGACTTACATATCTTTAGAATGGAAGAGTTTTCATTAATTTCTTTTTTAATCGTGGGGAGTAAAAACAATAATATCAGAAAGATTTAATATATAAGATCAACATTTAAATGGGATGAAGAGTGTGAGATGTTTCAGTTGGTTCAGCTTGGTCTCTGCATTTCAAGTACTTATTTGTTAATGAATTTTAAAAGGCCACAAATATTATCCATCCCTTACTTTCTAATTTTCCAAAAGGTGTAAAGGACTCATCAATCAGAAAATGACTTTGTTTAATTATTAGTAGACTACTTCTTTGATTTATTGAAAATCTTCCTTTCTCGTATATTCCTTTCTCTTTGGATTTTATGGCCCTGCTATCAGCTGCACAGTTCTTACATAATGAGTGGCAGAGGTCCAAGGGAGGCTTTCCCACTCATTAGAGGATTCCTGGGCAGGCTCTTTGGAGACTTGATCATCTTTTTCCCAAAGGATGAACTTTTGTCTCTCAGAACAGTTCTGAAACAGTTTTGTTTGTGGTCAGTCGTTTGTATTTTAAAGTAGTATAAAGTTGTCAATTTAATGAAGATGACATTAATGATTACTCACATTCTTTTGAAACTTTTTTTCTTACCTTTGCTTTCTACTGGTGCCTATGACCTAGAATTAGGTCAACCAACTTTTAAAGAGTTGGTACTTCTATCAGATTTTGTTTTTAATGTGAGTGGAATCATTACTATAGTTCATAAAACTTAAATATGGATTTTTGCAACTAGTAGGCTTCTAATATTTATCAAATGAATTGGTTTCAGTAGTATGAAGCTATATCCATTTTGTTTTTAGAAGTTCCATGAGGTTTCAAACACTTGGAGATTATCCATTGATTTGATTGTTGAACACATTTCACCTTATTTAAATAAATATATGTTTTATAGATGGAGTGGTAGGGAGAGTTTAAATAACAGGTTAAAAGCCCCTAGTAATAGTATTATATTCAATTTTTTTTTCAGGAATCATATCGACAGGTCATGAAAATGAGACCAAAAGATCTCTGGAAGCGATTAATGATAAAATTTCGTGGAGAAGAAGGCCTTGACTATGGAGGGGTTGCCAGGTGAAGACTTGCTCATCAATAAATGACATATGGATCTTTATACTTAAAAAATTTAAGATATCTCCTGTGGTATAACCTTCTCATTGATATTTATTTTCTAGAATAATATTCCCTAAAGTTTGCAATACAGAGGATATTCTAATAGATATATTCATAATGATGTTAGGATAGTACTACCACAGAAGAGTATGTGAGAACTCCCTAATGGATCATATAGCCCAGTGAGACTTTCTCTGAAATGTAGCTGCAACCCTACATGGAGTCTTGGTAGGACCTGCAGGCCCTATATTTTCTCCATCTGCCTCCTTTAATACACGTTATTCCTTCAGCTTTACGTTGTCAGGAACATCTTGAGACTTTAATGACATGTTTTCTAAACTGAATGCTGTTTCCCTTTGCTTCCATTGTCATGCTTTTTAACCTTGTTAAAGGAATGTTTGTATGTATGTATATGTATATATCATAAATGGTCCTTAAAACGTTTCAGTACAGAAGCTGTATGCTTCTGCTACATTCATACATCAAGTAATTTTTTTTCCAGGTGTGAGAATTCACTTTTATAAATGTAGCAGAAGCATCATAGGTTCTGTATTGAAACGTTCTAAGCGCCATCATGATAATTCTGCTCCCCCTAATCTAAATCCAGCCTAAATTAAATTTCTGTTTCTACCAAGTCCCATAATTGTTATTTAGCATTACTTGTTTTTACCTGTAGCCTTATTTTCCTTCTGTGACCTTTTTACCAACAAATGGATAGTTACTTTAGTTTGGATTTTTAGAATCGATCACTTGTACATAATACTTAGGACTTGATAGTTTCTTTGTGCAATTCTTCTGGTGTACTCATAGCTAGATTTTGAATGCTTGTTGGGAAAACTTTTAAATTATCTGCTGATGGAATCTAAATGCTGTAATTACATGTATAAGTAGTCAGTTATTTGTTGTTTATTTCTTAACCTCACTACCGTCAGGGTTTGGGCAGACTAAATGGGGTATGGCAGTGAACTGCTTTTTCTAATCTTTATTCCATAGTAGAACCCAAAAGTAATTGGGTTCTGCTCTTCTGTATGTTACAAATACTTGGTGAAACAAAAGAAAAATTTGGATTTTCTTTAAAAAAAAAAATGCGTATCTATCCAAAGAGCTTGAAGTCAGCAATTCCAAAAGTCCTGTGCACCCCAATGTTCATTGCAGCATTATTTACAATAGCCAAGACATGGAAGCAACCTAAGTGCCCATCAACAGATGAATGGATAAAGAAGACGTGGTATATATATACAATGGAATACTACTCAGCTGTGAAACAGAACAAAATCATTCCATTTGCAATAACATGGATGGACCTTGAGGGAATTATGTTAAGTGAAATAAGCCAGTTAGAGAAAGATAATCTCTGTATGACTCCACTCATGAAGCGTTTAAAAATGTGGACAAAGAGAACAGATTAGTGGCTACCAGAGGAAAGGTGGGGTGGGGGGTGGGCACAAAAGGTGAAGCAGTGCACCTACAACACGACTGACAAACATTAATGTACAACTGAAATTTCACAAGATTGTAACCTATCATTGACTCAATAAAAAATATGCATAAAAAGCATATGAGACACATCAGTGTCAGGTGAGCATTATGTGTGTTGGGAAGGTTGCTTACGTAGAGACCTCACTTTTCTTAATCTCGAGAGTAATGGTAGTGATTTGATTTAGATTCATGTTATAAAACTTTGAAATATTTTCCTTTAACTACTTTTTAATAGTATGTCACTGCATTTGCTAAAAATACATTATTCAATCTGTTTAATCTGTAATATCAGAACATATCACTTAAAACCTTTCCTGAGGAATGACAAGACTTGAGACTAGAACTACATCTTCTTAAGTCCTGGACTAGTGATTTTATTTCAGTTTCACCAAAATGAATAGCAAGTTATCTTTTATGCTTTGAAAAATATAAAGGATTTAATAAGTTTAATGTGATAGTCCTATTTATTATGAGGTTTTAAAAAACATTGATGTTCACTTGAAAACAAGAAGTGATAGGAATATCCCCCTAAAAACGCTTGCCCTTGTGTTCCTACCTATACCAAATGCCTTGCAATCTCTGACCACTTGTTTTTTTAATATTTTTGGTGAGGAAGATTGGCCCTGAGCTCACATCTATGCCAGTTTTCCTCTGTTTTGTATGTGGGATGCTTCCACAGCATGGCTTGATGACCGGTGTGTAGGTCTGCACCTGGGATCCAAACCTGCAAACCCCAAGCTGCCCAAGTGGAGTGTGCGAACTTAACCACTATGCCACCGGGCTGGCCCCCCTCTTATATTTTTCTCATGGTCTATTTTAGGATTTACACAAAAAAGATGATGAAATGGATAATGAAATTTCCTTACTAAAACAATACCCACAACAAAACACACCCTCATCTAAGTGAGAGTAAATTAATGCTATATTATATATCTATATAAACTAGTATAAATCTGCCATGATAGGGGCAGAGTAGGATAGTATAGATCACATGGATGTTTGGAAGTAAAATCGTATTCTTCCCTTTATCTTTTATTTACCATGGATTACAGACTTATTTAGCAAGTAAAAGTGACAGACCACTGGGCTGCACATCTGATGAGTAGTGGCACTTCTGGATAATATCTTTATACTCTCTGATGCTAAAATGTCATAAAATTGCCCAAAATTGAGTGAGAATTAACTTCAGTGTAACAAAATAAGAGTTTTCATTTGCTTTCTGCTCATGGTAGATTTTTCGCTATGATCTTATATAACTACAGTTAGTACTTTATTTTAAAAATTATTTGGTGAAATGATTAATAACGTATATTAATAAAAATGTATTCATTAACAAATAGTTCCTCTGTCACATCTTGTTTTCTAGGGAGTGGTTATATCTCTTGTCGCATGAAATGTTGAATCCGTACTATGGCCTCTTCCAGTATTCAAGAGATGATATCTATACCTTGCAGATCAATCCTGATTCTGCAGTTAATCCGGTAGGATTGGTGCCAGTGATGACATGAAGTAACTTGTGACCTCCAGTGCTTTAAATGTCAATGTAGTTGATGACATAGGATTACTGTCCTTGTCCTAGTCCCACCCTTCCACTCAACAATTCCTCCTCTAGGAGATTTTCCCAAGTAGACAATTGTAGATATGTGCATCTGTTTAGTGCTTCATTGTTTGTAGCAGCCCCAACTGAAATCAACGTCGTTGTCCAGAAGAGGGGAGGTGATTAATTATGACGTGAAGCAGAATGACAGTAATGGTTAAGAGCATAGATTCTGGAATTAGAAAGACCTGAGGTCATATTCTGGTCCCATGACTTACTAGCTTTGTGACCTTAGGCAAATTCATTGATTTAAGCCTCAATTTTAACATTGCTAATAATAATACGTATAGTTCGTACCTCAGAGAAGGGTTGTGACAATTAAATGGGACCCTGCACATTAAGTATTAAGCACAGAGCTATACATTTTTAACCCTATTATGTATTATTAAGCAAAAAAGTTAGCAGCTATTATTAATTTGCTGTTTTTGTATTATTTCTATCTTTCCATACAAGGGCATATTTTATACAACCACTAAAATGACATTGTGGGAAAACAGCTAATGACATGTAAAGATGTTCATGACCTATTAGGTGAAAGGAGGTTTCAAAATAGTACAATAGAATTTTGGTAAATATGTGTGTAAACATTGAAAGGCTCTACACTATGATGTTGGTGGTAGTTATCTCTGGGTATTAGATTATGGGTGATTTTTTTCTTTTTCACTTGTCTATATTTTCTGAGTATTTTGTAGTGAACGTGTATTATTTTTTAAAAAGAAACAAAAGATATTTTTTAGATAAAAGGGAGGTTTAAAGATGAGTTAAAAGATTACTTATTGCATAGAGAAGTAAGAGAAGTTTAAAATACAAATATCCAACTAACAAAACTTATCATGAAAGACCAAATCTATCCAAACGTGGTAGAAATGTTAGATTCATTGCAGGGAATCCTTTATAAAGGGAAGATATTTAGGTGAAGGTTCTGTGTGGGGAGTCCATTACTGCCACTGTAGTTATAACAACCCATGTTTGTTGAGTGTTTACTGTATACCAGGTCTAGTGCTGTGGGTTTCATCATCTCAAGATACTTTTTAGATACTATGGTTAACCTTCCTTTATCCAGATGTGGAAAATTAGTCCTACAGGGGTTATAATTTGCCCAAGTGTGCATAGCTAGTAACTGGCAGAATCAGGACTCTGGTCCAAGTTAGACACCAAATCTGTGCTTTAAATGTCTGATATTTTGATGTTCGATTTCTTTTAGGTCAAAGAAGTGGTAGGTTTTGGATTGAAAGCTTTTTTTCCATGACAGAGCCAGGATTGTAAGGAGCTCGGCAAGAGCTGAGAGGAGAGGAAGGGAACAGAATCTGTGTGTGATTTGATGAAAGCTACAGTGGGACTGTAGTTTGGGCTTAATTTCTAAAGATAAATTTTGCAAAGTGACTGTACCCTTTGAGAGAGATGTTGACTCCGGTGTAATATTTTATAGCAATGTAGAGTAACTTGAGCATGCCCTATAGAAACTGTCCCTAATGATTGCGCTTTGATATGATAGGCTATTCCATTTAAAGAGTTGCAAATTAGAGTATAAGTTGATACTTATAAAAATAGGTTAATGTTGCATAGAAATTTAATTTTTATTAAAAAATCCCTGGATAGTGTCTAACTTGAGTTTATATAAACTCTTTTCAATTTCAGGAACATTTATCGTATTTCCACTTTGTTGGACGAATAATGGGAATGGCAGTGTTTCATGGACATTACATTGATGGTGGTTTCACGTTGCCGTTTTATAAGCAGTTGCTTGGGAAGTCAATTACTTTGGATGACATGGAGTTAGTTGATCCAGATCTGCATAACAGTTTAGTGTGGATACTGTATGTATTGAGTCCTGTATCTGTTTGTTATAGTTAGAATATGAGCTTTTAAAAAAGACACGTTTCAAAATGAGTGTCCTTTTTTTTTTAATTTAAAAAACATGCACAGAAAATACTAAGAGTGATAATCTGAGTGATAGGACCACATAAGATTCCCTCTTTCTACTCCTGTCCTATATACTTCAAATTCCTAAAAGTTAGTGAGCGGTATTACTTTAAAAAGGAAAAAATCCTAGTATATTTTATTTTAGAAAGTACTTTATATAATGATTTCCTCAATATGATGCGAGTTCCATTCCAGTCCTACATGTGTTGGAATAGCAAATTCCTGCTCAAGTGGTGATTGTTGAAACCACACTTTTAAAAGGGTATTTGTAAGAACAAGTTCTGTTTTGCAGGAGGTCCTTAGTTTATGAAGATATATTGGCCACACTTATTTTTGCCAAATAGATGAGTGGCTTTCTCACTGGGGACCCTCAGGCGTTTGGTCACTTAGGGGTACCCAGATCTAGTAAGGCCTCTTATCTGAATGCCAAACATAACTGCAGTTTCCCTAGGTAAAGCCCAGCTTTGGCCAGGGCTCTTTCTCATTACTGAGGAGGTGAAATGTCCCCTGCGTTTATGAATGTTAAAGCTCTTTGACTCTTCTGTCCAGGAACTAGGAGATGTGGCAGCATGAGCACTGGGAAGAGGAGTCTGACTTTATATTTGACATGTCCTAAAACTATCTTAGTTTGATCTGTCTCACCAATTGATACATCCATAGGATCTGTATTTTAGATTTTCCAGTTAAGCATCTTTCCCTCTCTTTCCTTTCTAGTGAGAATGATATTACAGGTGTTTTGGACCATACCTTCTGTGTTGAACATAACGCATATGGTGAAATTATTCAGCATGAACTTAAACCAAATGGCAAGAGTATCCCTGTTACTGAAGAAAATAAAAAAGAATATGTCAGGTAAACACTTACGTGTTCTCAAGCCTGAGAACTGTTTTAATGTTCTAGAATGGCAGTAGGGAAAAATATTTAAGTATTTAGGTAGTGTTAATTATCACTACAAAAGCGGCTTCCACAGAATTTAGTGGGGGCCGGCCCTGTGGCTCAGTGATTAAGTTCATGCACTCCGCTTTGGCGGCCCAGGGTTTCACCGGTTCGGATCCTGGGCGCGGACATGGCACCACTCATCATGGCCTGCTGGCACTCACAACTAGAATATACAGCTGTGTACTGGGGGTCTTTAGGGAGAAGAAGAAGAAAAAAAAAGATTGGCAACAGATGTTAGGTCAGGCGCCAAGCTTAAAAAACAAAAAAAAGAATTTAGCAAATTAAAAAGAGCCACCACTTTATTATTTTTCACAATTCCCTGAGTCAGTAATTTGGATAGAGAACAACAGGGATAGCACACTGCTCCTCCATGTGGTGTCAGCTGGGAGTGAAATGTCAAACTGACCTCTTTGCTCACCTATCTGATGCTTCTGTGAGGATGGCTCAAACAGCTGGGGGCTGGTTGGCTGGAAGGGCCACTCAGTCACCATCTGAGGCCTAATTCTCACTGTTCGCTGGGTTCCTTGGTTACCCTCGTTTTGTATCAGAGGCCTCTCACTCTCCCCATGGCCTCTCTCCCCCCAGCAAGATGGCCAGACTTCTTATGGGGTGGCTGGTTTTCCAGAGTACAAAATCAGAGGCTGTCGAATCTTTTTAAGGCCTAAGTCAGGAACTGTCCAACATCACTTCTGCTGTATTCTTTTGGTTAAAGTGTCACATGCCAGCCCAGGTTCACTGTTGGGTAGGGGCTGTACAAAGGCATGAAGACCAGGGCCATGTGGAGTGTAGCTACCACAGCTAGCAATACAGAAGCACTTAATCCTGTTGATAAATAAGCACATTGTGAGTTTAAGGGATAAATATAAGAAAATGTTCTTCAGATTTTATACAATCACCTGTTGATTGACGAATTTAGAAGTATTGGGTTAGATCATTTGGCTTATGGTAACTACAGTTCTTCTAAACATAAACTATGGTAGTCGTATTTAGGAGTTTGAACGTCACCGTATGTACACAGAAACATGCGCGCTCTACTCTTTTGTATAGGTTATGTCCCCAACACCTATTGGCTAAAACTTTCTCATGGACTGTTGAAGGGAGTGGACACTGGTGTAGCTTTTTTGGAAAGCAATTTGATAACAGCTGCCAAAGTGGAAATGCACCTGCCTGTTAACTAGCAGTGCCGTTTCTAGGAATCTGTTTTACAGAAACACATATATAATTAAAGAAATGTGAATGAAGATGTTCAATTAAATATTATTTGTAAAAAAAATGGAAAACAGCTAAAATGTTTTTAGAGGATAATGATAAATACATACATTCAACAGAATATTAGGTGGATATTTAAAAAAAAAGAAAGAGAAACTCTGCATAAGCTATCAGATTTAAAAGGCAAGTCTTAGAAGAATAACGTAGGAACAAAGTCTGTGTTGTTGTTTGATAATTATTTGAAAGATGTTCAGGAAAGCTCCCTGCCAAATAAAGTGTTTGCCTAGGATGAGGGAGTGGAGGTTGGAGGTGGTGGCCCTGGAACTTGAAAGGGAAAAGGGGATAGAAGAATGGACTTTCAGATTTTACTCTTGCTTCACATTTAATCTTTGATTTTTATTTTCATATATAATAAGCATGTATTACATTTCTAATTAAAACATAAATGAATAGGAATTTCCTGAATTTTAGTAGTGTTGTCCACATCCCGTGTGCACTACTCAGTTCCTAGTCCCATTCTCCAGGATTCAGTTTTGTTTACAACACACAGTAAGTATCCCTTACCAAATACAGTTTTGAGATTTAAAAAAAAAATTACAGGGGCCAGCCCAGTGGTGCAGCTGTTAAGTGTGCATGTTCTGCTTTGGTGGCCCAGGGTTCACCAGTTCGGATCCCAGGTGCCGATATGGTACCGCTTGGCAAGCCATGCTGTGGTAGGCATCCCACATGTTAAAAAAAAAAAAAAAAAAAAGGGAGAGGAAGATGGGCATGGATGTTAGCTCAGGGCCAGTCTTCTTCAGCCAAAAAAAAAAAGGATTGGCAGCAGTTAGCTCAGAGCTAATCTTCCTAAAAAAAAAAAAAATTACCAAGAAAAACTTTTTAAAGATGTGCACTTTTGCTGTCCCCTTAAACAAACTAACAAAAATGAGGTCCCCCAAAGGATATTATATTAAGTAACTTATTTTTTAAAGCAGAGAACTATTTCTCGAAGTTTGGAAAAGGAAATGTTTACAGATTTGGAAGATGAATAGTAACTGTTCTGAGATTTGTGAGACGTTTTCCTGGGTAAATAAGATTTTAAAAAAAGCAATTCACTTATAAATTTTAAGTCCAAGTGAAAAGTATAAGTAAAGCTACACATCAGCTGTAGTTTAGTGTACTTTTTGTTGGTAAAATGACATCTTCCAGGGTTTGTAAAGCCTCTAGGGAACAATGAGTATTTCCTCAAAAAGTGCTTGCTATTGTCTTTTACTATTTCTTATCATTTTGGATGTGAGGATTCTCTTTACCTCGTCTTCCCTGATATGCTGCCCCCAAAATATAAACAAAACACCGAACACATTCAGGTTGTGTTTTCAAGTGAAACCAAAAAAGTCATTTTTTGGTTGAATGGGCTGTTTTTCCTGGTTATTGGCATGCATGTTAGAAGTTTAGAAAGAACTTTCATCCAGATTTTAAATTCAGACCCACCTAACCTCTAGCCGACTTCCACTTTACTAGGAGTTTCTCTGATTCGAAGAGTTCCTTTATTGATGCTGCTTTTGTTAGTGGATGGTTACTTTCAAAATGTACGGTGAGCTGCCTCACAGCTCAGGAGCCATCTACCCTTAGTAATCCGAGATTCTTTTAGACTTTGGACTAAATTCTTAATGCTAGATGCTTGTAAAATGCAGTTGTGCTAGAGTGGACAGGCTAGTAATAGCCAAGTCTGAATATATTTGATCATATGAAACCGCTGCCCAATGTTTACAGGCTCTATGTGAACTGGAGATTCTTACGAGGCATTGAGGCGCAATTCCTCGCTCTACAGAAGGGATTTAATGAAGTAATTCCACAGCATCTGCTGAAGACATTTGATGAGAAGGAGTTAGAGGTCAGTGTGTTCATGTCATGACATCTTCTAGTGTAACAAGGAAAGCTTAGGAATTTTCTGTTACTCAGTTTTAGGAGAAAGTTGTTTTCCTGGTGTTTTTGAAGTTTTATGGTGCAATGCTGTGAGAATCCTTATTCACAGAAAAAGTCTTCCCTGCTTCGGAAAAGCCTTTCATGCTTTGGAATTTCTACAGTAAGCACTCTCTTATATTGTGAACATTCTTAATTAATTTTTCCAAATTATCCTTTCTTGTTTTCAGCAGATTTCATGTCTTCTGTGTACATCCTTCCAGAGTTGTTTCCTTTTCCCTAATTAAGTGGTTATTGATTTAGTTAACTAAAACTTCATTAATTGGTCTCCACCATATGGAAATTTATTTGGAATAAAAGCCTGGGCTCAATTGGATTTACAGTAAGATTTGCAACAAGCATTTGGTAGATAAGATCATAGAAGAAATAATTTAAACGCTTAGGGTAAACTGTATTTAAACATCCTCAGTCTCTTTGGAAACATTTCATTACTAACTGTAGCTGTAATAAACAGTTAACCGTTTTTTGTTTTCTTTTAAAGCTGGCCCTTAAACCACCTTAGGTCTAGTTTTATAATTAAGACCTTTAAGAAATACATCTGAATTTTCACTGAAGTAGTTTGCAGAAACAACAAGGTTTTATTCTACCAGAGGTCCCAAGTTTAATTAGTGGCTAGGGATAGCATAAATATTTGAAGTCTACAAATAATGTAAAACATGATTTTATTCATTAACTTCAATGTCCTTTCTAACTAAATCCTTAACAGACTTGTTAGTAAACAAATCTAAAAAGATTGCTCCCATCCTCATTCCTTTTATGATTGAACTATTTAATGATGACGTGGCCAGAAGGACGCAGTCCAAAGGAGGAAGAACAGTGAGCAGGAATGGCAATAAAGCTGAAATACAGCGCATTTTCATCTGTTCATACACTGGATGAGGAGCATGGCCCTAAAATTACCACGCCTCTAAAGAAAAGAATTTAGGGAGGTGTCTTTTGTGTTACAAGTACATCTGTGTCCTTTGGATAACCACTTTCCTGCTCAGTGTGGCTGTGATTCAGTGATCTTTTCAGAACTCTGTAGAAGCCTTGTTGGAGATTTTATTCAGTAGGGTTGCGGTTCATTGTATAGTTTCTACTGCTAATGAAATTAAACTTTTAATAAAAACATAGGTATATATTTTAGTGTTATACTGGGTTAATATTAAGAATTAATTATAAAATGTAGGATTTGCAAGTTACGGTATGTTTTACACTACAATCATAATTCACCGTTGTAAACACGTTAGTCAGATGAGTTAGTCTTGGGCCCTCAGGAGATGTGAATATTCATAGTATTAGACTGATGTGGGTACAGTTCATCTGTACTGCCCCTGCATCAGGATGCCAAGCAGAGCTCTGTATCCGTGCACTCATGTTTTTTGTCCCTTGACACAACTTTGAGATTATCAAGCAGATTGTGTCACTCATTCAGTGAACATTTCTTGGGTTCCTGTGCATTGTTGGTTGCTTTCAGAGGATGTGGTGAAATAGGTGTTCCTACCATATCACAGCAGAGGAAACTGCTGGCTAAGGGACGTGAACTGAATTCCGAAATCCCAAAGCTACTAAGTGTTGAAACCAGAATAATATGATGCAGGTCTTGGGGAAGCCATGCATAAACTGTATTTACTCTTTGAGTCTAGTTTCTGTCCATTAAAAAAAGTTTAGAATTCTATGAAATTAGGAAACTTTCATCTTGTCACTTCCGTCACAGAGGTGCTTCTCAGACCCTGGGTAGGGAAACTGCAGTGAGTAGGGACCTGTGGAAGTTTTTAAAATACAGATTACTATCTCCCCAGACTCTCAGAATTAAAATCTCTGATTATAGGACCTGGTGTGTGTATTTTGAAAAACTTTGCAATGATCCTGATGTGTATCCTTGATTAAGAACCACCATATGAGAGCCAATACCGCAAATCTAAAGTTCTGTTTTGAGGAATTTTTGACTTAACTTGGGTTTCCACTGGCTCATATTTGTGCAATATTTTAACAGCTCATTATTTGTGGACTTGGAAAGATAGACGTTAATGACTGGAAGGTAAACACCCGGTTAAAACACTGTACACCAGACAGCAATGTCGTCAAGTGGTTCTGGAAAGCTGTGGAGTTTTTTGATGAGGAACGACGAGCACGGTTACTTCAGTTTGTGACAGGATCGTCCAGAGTGCCTCTGCAGGGCTTCAAAGCTTTACAAGGTAAAAACCCAGAGGGACTGACGATGTGGCACCACATGATTGGGGGAGGGAATCAGTATTTGGTTTATACAGATAGTTTACCAACCATGTGCTGATAAGCAGGTTGTCTTTTGCTCTGTTTCTTATCTGTAACTGTCTTGACGCCGCCTTCTCCTTCCTTCCTCCGTTCCCCTCCCCAGAGCCTTTTCTGCTGGGGTTCTCTGTGGTTGTAGTGAGTGCCCCATGTTAGAGACTGTCTGTGGTGAGGCTCTGCCTTTTCTTTTCTGGTCACCTTGCTTTTAAAGTCTGCTGCACCTTCCTACAGGGGAAGTCTGTTTGCTTCCATGTTCACCTCTCAATCTGGCGAAACATTGACCCGCAGGGAGAGATGCCTCTCCCCTGTACTTTTTTATTATTTTAATAGAAAGAGGCAGCATGAGCTGTGGAAGTCATTTGTTTGGTCAGAGCACTTTAACTATTGCATGGCATCAGGTCGTTTCTGTGCAGCCATATCCCGTGTTTAGGAATGTTTTCCGTGGACTAGCCGTTGAATGTGGGGACGAGTTGGTAATCTCGCTGACGATTGTGCTTCGTTGGCTGGCAGTTGCTTCCTTTACCTCTGAACCTCTTCATTTTCAAAGCTGCTGCTGCTGGTGATGACTGAGGATATATGAAGCAAGACTGGTCCATAATTCAACAGTGTTGCCCACGGTACATATGTACAGAGTCCACGGGGAAAGCATACTTTGAGTTGTGCTTACCTTCCCTATTTGGAGAACTCATCATTCTCACACTCCCCAGATGCATAAAGTGGAGTTGTATTTCTGCATACATTTGTATGGGATGTCTTATGTTGACTGAAATTTATTCTGTAGACTGCTCATCTTTTGCTCTCAGCCAAGTTTGAGTCATGAAACCTGAATATGCATTAAGCTGTCATCTTTTTGACTCTGTGTATATGCATTTGGTCTTGGATTTGCCCATTTACTTTTCTTTTCATACTTTTGGGACATTGATTTTTGTATAGAAGATAGAACTTGGCAAAGGATTTCAATCCTGAACTTTCCAAATTGAAATGCTGGTATATTAAGGAAACCAGCCTTATCTAAGGTCAGTTCCAGCTTTCAAAGCGCAGATTCTTTTCCTGCTGCCCTTTGGCAGCTCGTGTGGTCACCAGTGTCCCCGTGCCTAGGCCTGTGGTTTGCGCACCAGTTTTGTTCTGAGACTTTGGAGACTCACAGGCGCCTGCGCGGTCTGAGCCGTACTGACTTCTCCTGCAGGTGCTGCGGGCCCGCGGCTCTTCACCATCCACCAGATTGACGCCTGCACTAACAACCTGCCCAAAGCCCACACTTGGTAAGTGATTTTTGTTGCGTTTTTCTCCTCAGTCCATCTACGTAGGTGTTCGTTTCAAACAGGTTTGACTTTTCACTTACTGTCCTCACTACTAAATGGACCTTTGAAAAGAATGATAAGCAACTCCTTAAAGTGATTTAAGATTATTCAGAAATTGGTAGGAAAACTTGAGAGTGGTAATCTCTACTTTAGAGAAATAGAACCTTTTTCTTTTAATTTTCTGTGTGACACAAAGAGTGATGTGGCTGCATCAGTAGACACTTGCTCGGCCAGTTACTTGAGTGAACTGTGTACAATCTGATTTGCTTATTTCCAGCTTCAATCGCATAGACATTCCGCCTTACGAAAGCTATGAAAAGTTATATGAAAAGCTGCTAACAGCCATCGAAGAAACATGTGGATTTGCTGTGGAATGAACTTCAAGGACCTACCCAGGACTCTATTTATGCCCCCGACCGACAGCCTCCTTTCAGCAGAGTTCCAAGGAATGCTGAAACACAGGAAAATGCCCTCCCCCCTTTAAATTTTAGGACACTGTGAGGGGAAAGGACAATTTTGAAATTCCTTTTCAAGGAAAAAAGAGGTCTTTATGCTTTGCCATGAGGCCACATTCAGCTGCTATTTAAAATTAATATCTTGAACCTAAAGAATGCTGACTTTTCCTGCATTTCCAGAGTTAGGCAGTATTCTACACTTAAAGACTACTACTATTTTTCTACAAGGTAATCTACTCAGATCGCTTCACACACTTCAAGTCTCTCAAACGTCAAGACAACTTCAGCAGTCGGTACAAGTCACGTTGCATTTTGATTGAACACATGATTGGAACAGCTCCTGTACTCGCTCTTTGTAAAAGAAAAGAAAATAAAATTATTTTGAATTATTCTACCTTTGTAAACAATTGGCTAAAAGAATCATTATCTTTAAAAAATTAAGCCATTTACATGTTTAATTAACATTTTTCTATAGCAAAGCATTATATTCTAAAAGCATTATATGTTTCAACTTAGCCTAAGTGCGTCTTTTTTATATTTTTCAAGCATGAATTTCCTGGAATACAGCTATATAATTTTGGTTGTCAAATTCCTAATGCAACCATTTAGTCTAAACTTAGTAGCTTATTTGCTATAATAAGATGCATTCAGGGGCTCCCTGTTTTTAAGAGACTTAAAAAGAAATCCTAATTTTTTAATATTGAATCAGTATGATCAGGTATTTTGGATTGACTTTTCATCTTAAATGGAAATACTGCGTTTATATAGTTCCTCCAATCACGTGGCTGGGGTAAGATTTTCATTCTTTCGCTGGGTCAGCTTATCTTTAATATATATTCTATTTCTGTAAACCAAAGTCTCCTATGACAAGTGCACCTAATTTATATTATATTTTAATTATGGTCTAAGTTTCTCTCAAGTAAACCATCCTGAATCTTTCTTGAGCTGCTCATGGTATTTTAATCAGCTAAAATTATGAAAAAGGAAAAATTTTGCTCTAAAGATTATTTAGCAAGTTTAGAAAACCCTGCTTTTACCCAACAAAATGAAGTGGGGGTGATGGGGCAGGCAGGGGCTGTGATTACTAAAGGAACAGTGACTCTGACTCTATGGTATAAATTACTTTAACACAGAAGAGTTAATTTTGGAAGTAAGGGAATCCCAGTTCCCTTGGTGTTAAGAGATCAACATCTGATTTTGAAATACCCAGATTGAGCTTTCAAGGTGTGTGGCACGTTGCATGATCCAGAAGGCAACCAAAATTCTGGAATGAGGGTTTGGAGAAATTTGGAATCATGGGTGGAGTTTTAAATTCAGCCATCAGAAATCTCTACACTGTTCTGTTGTTGTTTTTTTTTTTACATTGATGTAAAATCAAGAATAGCAAATTTTGATGAGATAGCTTTGTTTAAGTTTGCAGCGTAATTATCAAGTGAATAGGCCCTTTGTGTTCTTTCATTTGACGGACTGGTTTTCAGTCTGTGTTCTTGGAGCCAGGAGGTTCTTCAGGGGTGCCTCAGAAGTACTGGTTTAAGAGAGGAAGGACAAAGAGAAGGAGAGGGAAGGCCTACTTGGTGTTTGAGCGGGGGCCTCTAACTCCCCACCCCCGCTCCCTTGACCCAGAGCAGCTCCAGGTTTTCTCTTTTATATATTGGGATTCCAAGTAAGCTTTCATGGAAGGCAGGGGGATAGGTGGGATAAAAGAAGTGGAAATTTTGCTGCTTAAAAAAAATGTTCAGAACTACTTGTGTAGTTTCTAAGTATTTAAATTTATTTCATTAATCCAAATTTGACTGCTACATGCAATCTAGTCATAATCGTAACTGTGCAGTGGTAATGTGCTTATTCTGACCTTTTTCTTCCCAAACACTTTGTGTTTTCCTACCACATTCTTTAGTACTGAAGAACATCTTGAAATGTACAGAGAAAGTTTCTATACGATTTGATTATCAGTAGTTTCCAGCTTCCACAATAGTACCTACTGGCTGCAGGTCCATCTCTCTTATTTAAAGCACTAGTGCAGTGTAATTGTGCCTACTCTTACAGCCTTTCAGTAAAAGTAAGGACACGATGAACGCTTCAGAGACGTCCTAACTGACGGATGCGGTGATAGTGAAATGCTGCTGTCACAGTGTATAATATAATGCCGGCAAATACCATCGCTTTTTGAGTGCCTTTTTAACTTTATAATAATGACTTAATGGAGCTTTAAAAGAAATAAATTACCCTCCCTAACAGTCTCTGGTATCACCAACATAATTTATAAAAGCATGATGATTTATATTTCATTTTCAAAATTGTTACCTGATTACTTCCAGATAGGTGCTAAGCAAACAAACCCCCAGTGTGTCCCTGAACCTTGGACTTGCACCTCACGTTGAATGTGAATATTTATTTCCACACGCCCCTCTTGACTGGGTTTTCCTGATCCTTCCCCTAGTTATTTCCGATGCGTGATGTCACCCTCCCATACATTGCCTGTCCACCACGAATGCTTAACTCTGAACAGTGCTTCCCTTTAGAGCTCACGGGCGGGACAGAGGTGAGTTCTGTTTCCGAGGGTCTCGTTCTTGATGTAAAGAGTGTTTCAATAGTGCTGTGTATAGTGTACATTTTGTTTTGCACATAGTTTGTTGCCCTGAATGGGTTTTATTTTTACCAAGTCTTTTGTTTTTTTCTTGTATTTACAGTCCAGAGCACAAGTTTCCTTTCTTTTAAAATTACAATGTCCTTTGCTTTATTTTACAACACTAAGTCTGCATGACCGTCTGGTGCATTGAACTGGCCGCACTGATGGAGTTAGGGATGGTCCGGGCATCTTTACAGTGTGGTAAGAGCAGCTCCTGCTTCCGTTGTCAGCTTAGTGTGTCAGCGGGGCCTTTGTGGTATTTAATGTTCTCATGTTAGGGTGATGGTTGTACCAAATGCTGAGTTGTTCTGTTTCTAGATGTAATTAGTTCACTTAATGTAATATTCTTCCTTCTCTCAAACTGACTTTACAAAGTTTTATCATTTTCATTGTATTTGTATTTATTACAGAGTGTTTTAGCTTTGATATTCTTTGTATTTTCACTCAGTTGTTACATGAGCTTTATCAATAACATCTGTATAAATGGTTTTTAAAAATTAACTATGTATGTGCCCATGCCGAAGTTGAGCAATAAAATGAATGCTGTTTGCACTGTCACAGCATCAAAGTTTTTAAAGAATATTCAGTTTATAATGAATTGTTTTGAAAAAATTTGACTGGATCTATGAAGAATGACAGCATATAAGCCATAAAATGAGAAGTTTAAGATTCACATGCCTTTGTTAGTTCACGCCTTTGTCACCTTGCAGAGCTTCAGAGAGCTCAGGACGCCCTTCCTGTCTCAGGTAGAGCAGAGAAGGTGCTCGTTTTCTCCTGTCATGGCAAACTGCTTGGCTGGCAGGGGCCGTTGGGGGCTATCTGGGTTGGATTCTGAGGCTGGTCTGGGCTTATTGGGGAAGAGTGTTCCAGTCCTGTGACGACGTCTGTCAGGACTGGAGGGCAGAGCTATTGGAGGGGCTTCCTTTGCTCCCTTGGTGTTGAGCAGTAAAATCCTTAAAATGAAAAGGAGAAATCAGGGCTGGCCTGGTGGCACAGTGGTTAAGTTTGTGCACTCCGCTTTGGTGGCCCGGGGCTCACTGGTTCGGATCCTGGGTGCAGACCTATGCACCACTGCTCAAGCCATGCTGTGGCAGGCGTCCCACATATAAAGTAGAGGAAGATGGGCACAGTTGTTAGCTCAGGGCCAGTCTTCCTCAGCAAAAAAACAAAAAAGGAGGAGGATGTTGGCGGCAGATGTTAGCTAAGGGCTAATCTTCCTCAAAAAAAAAAAAAAAAAAATCAATTATATTTTTCCAAGAAGCCATGATTTTAAGGGTCATGATTCACAACTCTATAATATTAGTGGATGAAAGTCCAGCTAAATAAATACATGGGTGGAAAAGAAAATGGATATGATGTTTTTTCATTGGAATATAGTCTTTGTCTCTCCACAGCATGGGTCACACAGAAAGGAATGTCTGGGAAATGCAGTGGAAGTAGTAGTGGTGTATTAAAGTTCAAAGAGTGGGCATGGTGTCCATTTTTTATATCCTTTTGAAATTTATTTTTTTGCTTTGTCTCACACTGTCACATTTACAGGTTATTATCTAAAATTTGTAAGGTTACTTACTAGAATTTAGTACATTATTTTAGTAGTAGTATAATCTGTAAGTTACCCAGAAGTTTGATTTGGCTAATATGTGGTAGGATTTTCTGCTGCGTGGTGATGTGAAAAGGTTGTCCCTTCATGTTAACCTTGGCACCTGCTGCATTTATTTGTACTTTATATCCCAAATGCTCACAGTAGGATATATGCCACAGACCCAGAGCCTAGTCACGGGATAGAGGTGTAGTCATGCGTTGTGTAACGATGGGGCTACGTTCTGAGAATGCATCATTAGGTGATTTCGTCGTCGTGCAAGCCTCGGAGTGCGCTGACACGGACCTAGATGGTGTAGCCTACTGCAGCCCTCGACGGTACAGGAGAGCCTGTTGCTCCTAGGCTACACATCTGTAAGCATGTTACTGTGCTGAACACTGTAGGCAATTCTAACACAATGGTAAGTATTTGTGTACCTAAACATATCTAACCACAGAAAAGGGAGAGTAAAAATACAATATAAAAGATCAAAAATAGTACACCTATCTAGAGCACTGACCATGAATGGAGTTTACAGGACTGGGTGTTGCTCTGGGTGAGTCAGTGAGTGAGGAGTGAGTGGTGAGTGAATGTAGAGGCCCAAGGGACATTACTGTACACTGCTCTAGACTTTAGAAATACTGTACACTTAGTCTACACGAAATTTGTAAAAAAATATTTTTCAATAAATTAGCTTACTATAACTTTATTACTTTATAAACTTTAAATTTTTTTAACATGACTCTTTTGTAATAACAAGCTTAAACCACACATTGTACAGCTGTACAAAAATATTTTCTATCCTTACTCTCTATTTTCTTTCCTTTTTTTTTTTCGGGCTGAGGAAGATTTGCCCTGAGCTAACATCCGTTGCAGTCATCTTCTTTTTGTATGTGAGCTGCCACCACAGCATGGCCACTTGACAGGCAAGTGGTGTAGGTCTGCACCTGAGAACTGAACCCAGGCCACTAAAGCAGAGTGCGCTGCACTTGACTACTAGGCCACCGGGGCTTGCCCAACATTTTTCTATTTTTAAATTTTTCTATACTTCTTTGTTAAAAATTAAAACATGCACACACATTAGCCTAGGCCTACACAGGCTCAGGATCATTAATATTCACCAATAATGGAAGGTCTTCAGAGGCAATAACATGCATGGAGCTGTCATCTCCCATGATAACAAGGCCTTCTTTTGGAATGCCTCCCGAGGGACGTGCATGAGGCTCTCCTTGAGGAAGTGTCACTCTTTTCAGAAATATGTCCATGGTGGTTTCTTTTTTCATCATAGATTTGCTTGTAAGAGATCATGCACCATGAACAAGCTTCTCTAGTAATGAAAATGTTGTGGTGTTGGGGGTCCATGTTTTCAAACTTTTTAGGAGCTTGCTGAGGTCTGCAAAAGCTTCTGCTAAACCGTGTGTGAATTTTCTTGGGGATTCTTATTTTCTTCTGCAGTTTCCTCTTCCCTTGCCTCTTCTTCAGCTATGCATTCCTGCTGCAGTTCCAACAACTCCTCACTGAAGTCATGGATGAACCTCTTGAATGTCTTTTTCCAGAAGCCATCAAGAACCAAGCGCAAGCAAGCTTCTTGACGCAGTCGTAGATGTTGTGATCCTTCCAGAATTGCATCAGTGTCTTCCTCATTTGCAGCAATAGCCTGGGCAAAGATCCTCCTCAGGTACTAGGCCTTAAAAGCTGCTGTAACTCCTTGATCCACTGGTTAGATCAAAGAGGATGTGTTTGGAGGGAGGAACATAGCTTTGATGTTGGGAGGAAGATCATCAGTAAAAAAAAAAAAGGAGGGAGTCTGGGAGCGTTATCAACAATAGACAAAATCTTCAAGATGTGATTCCCCAAACAGTCCTCCTCCATTTCGCTGGCATGGCAATTCAGGAGGGCATCTTGGAAGAGGAGCTGGGTCATCTGTGACTTCTTATTGCTCCTGTAGTACACTGGCAGTGTGTGCTTACTGATGTTCTTGAAGGCCCTGGGGTTCTCACCCTGCCAGATGACAAAGTGTTTCAATTTGCAGCCTGCAACATTGCCCCAAGCAAGAGTGTTATCCTGTCCTCAAAAGCCTTGAAACCTGGCATTGACTTGGCCTCCTTCTGGATCAAAGTCCTTTCAGGCACCCATCTCCAGAAGAGGGAGGTTTCACCCATAGTGAATATCTGCTCTAGCAAGCAATCTTCCTCCACAATCAGCTTATCTGGAGTTTCCAAAAGTTCTTCTGCTGCCTTCACATCAGCGCTCGCAGACTCACCCTCACTTTCACATCATGTAACGAACAACGATTCTTGAATCGTTTAAAGCACCCAGAGCTAGCAGTAAATTCAAAATCGTAGTCGGTCTGGCCTTTACTTTCAGCATTGCAAACGAACTTTTTGTTTTGGCCGTGACTGTCATGGTGCTGAGAGGGATACGCTTCTGTGTCTGGTCTTCAATCCAGGTCTTCAGAAGTTTCTCCATGTCTGATATAGGCCCTTCTTGAATTTTGTTAGTCTCGTTGCCTTCAATGAAGCAGATCCGTTAACAGCTTGCATCACTTTGTTCTTGTTCTTCAAGATTGTAGCTGTGGTGGAATGGGACATGCCTGGCTGGCAAGCAGTAACCATCACTGATTTCCCACCTTTGTAGTCCTTAGTCACTTTTAATTTTGTTTCCAGGTTAGTCATTTGATATGGTCTCTTACTGGCAATATTAGCAGGGGTTTTTGTACGCTTAGGGGACACAATGAACAAAACAACATGAGATTAAATTGGACACGAGAAAATGATGCAATCGAGATGTGGTAAACGTGCAATATATGAGGCTGCTGCCAGCGTAACACAGCATACTCTTCTACAGTAATTTTTAAATTTTTTTTAAGATTGGCACCTGAGCTAACATCTTTTGCCAATCTTTTCTTTTTTTTTTCCTTCTTCCTTCTCCCGAAAGCCCCCCAGTACATAGTTGTAGATTCTAGCTCAGCACAGCCTGACGAGCGGTGTCATGTCTGCGCCCAGGATCTGAACTGTCAAAACCCTGGGCCGCTGAAGCAGAACGCGCGAACTTAACCACTCGGCCATGGGGCCGGCCCCAACTGTGAATTTTCTTTTATAAGAAAAAGTTCATGCTAACAAAAAGTATAGTAAATACATAAATCAGAAACAATCATTTATTATCAAGTTTTATGTACTGTACCTAACTATGTTATACTTACATACAACTGGCAGCACATTGGCATCACCAGAAACATGGGAGTGACGCGTTCCACTACATTACAAAAGCTACGACGACAGGGGATAGGAATTTTTCAGCTCCATTATAATCTTACGGGACTACTGTGGTATAAGCTGACAAACAGAGATGGCAAGCAATAGGACACATTGGAGTATATGAGGAAGCCATTTGGTGTAAACTTAATTTGGCCTGACTTTGTTTTTCCAAAAGGGCCTGATGGGGCCATCAAGCATGCATTGTATATCTGCTTTAAACATTTCCTATGGCAAGAACAAATGCCCTTAAGATAAAGGTGCAACTTCCCCTCACAGTGGCATTTCCTTAAGGATAAGCATCTCTCCTTAGACTAGGAACTGATTACTGTGCTCACCTTTGACCACCCAGCTCGAGACAGCAGACCTGCCACCTTGCTGTGTCTGAGACAGCAGACCTACTACCTACTGTGTCCATCAATCACTGTGCCGACAGAACAGTCTCCTGACTACTGTAAAAGGGACATTTCAATCCTATGTGAAACATCCTCTTTGAGGGTATATAACCACTCTGTACACCCCACTTCTTTGGTGCCCTTCCTTCTTTTGGGAAGGCAGGCACAGGGCCATGGTCCTCACATTTTGGCTCAGAATAAACTCACCCACATTTTCATTTATAGATTGGTTATGGATTATTTTCGTCAACAAAGTGGTGCGTTGTTGACTGAAATGTCGTTATGTGGCACATGACTATAATTATACAGAGAAAGGGTTATGTTCCTAGGTTAACACTCTTAGCAAACTAGACAAACCAGATTTTAAAGTTAGATTTTATCAAAAGGTATTTACCCTAAATGTGACTTGTTCTTTATTCATTCAACAACTACTATGTTCTTATGAGGTGTCAGGCTCTGTACTAGCTGCTAGGGCTATAGCTTTAGATGGCTGTTCAAAAACTGACCTTCCCAACTAGGGCTTCTAGCCTATGTCTCAGTAAAAGCTGGAGCTCACACTTAAGTACTCAAAATGCAATTTGTGTACAGCAAAGAAGTCGGTCATGATGGGAGCAGAATTAAATACCTCACGTCAGCAAGGCCTCAAATCCAAGACGTGGATTTTGAAACAACTAGCTTTGCTCCCCCACCCCCACGACACCCCAGATCTTAGAGATACTTGTCTCTAGGACAGGCAGCTCCTTCCTTGTGCTGTGTTCATTATACAGCTGGCTACAGCTACAAGGTGATATGCTCAACTGTTGCTAATTAGCACACATTTTGTGGGTGTTGGGCTGGGATTTATCTAGGTTATCAATTAGTCTCTAACATGAGCTGTAAACCCTGCTTCTGTCTCCCTCATAGTGTTTTATAAGTGAAGGAGATGGAGAGACAACTACAGCAGCCGGTGGAGCAGGTGAGGGACCCTTCTGAAATGTTTCTCCTGCCCACTTCAGTGTACATGAAGTTGTCTGACTTTCAGCCCAAGAACTGGGAGTGAAGATGAACAGCACATCAGACTGAACCTCTCAAACCACTCACTTCTCCCAAAAATGCTGGCATGGCAAGAAGGTGAAGAACCATAGAGACCAGAAAGGCAAAGTTTATTAGTTTCAGGTGTACAACGTAATGATTTGATATTTTGTACATATTTTGAAACAATCACCACAGTAAGTCTAGTTAACATCCATCACCATATATAATTACAAAATTTTTTTTCTTGTGATGAGAATTATTAAGATCTACTCTACTGGCAACTTTCAAATGTGCAACACAGTATTGTCAACTGTAGTCACCATGCTGTATATTATAGTCCCAGGACTTACTTATTTTATAACTGGAAGTTTGTACCTTTTGACCACCTTCACCCATTTCACCCACCCCTGCCTCTGGCAACCACCAATCTGTTCTCTGTATTTGTGAGCTCAGTTCTTTTTTTTCTTTTCTTTTTCAGATTGCACATACAAGTGAAATCATGTTATTTGTCTTTCTCTGTCTTACCTCATGTAGCAAAATGTCCTCAAGGTCCATTATGTTGTTGCAAATGGAAACATTTCCTTCTTTTTTATGACCGAGTAATATTCCATTATATATATGCACCACATTTTCTTTGTCCATTCATCTATCAGTGAATGCTTAGGTTATTTCCATATCTTGGCCATAGTAACTAATGGTGCAGTGAACATGGGGATGCAGCTATCTTTTTAAGGTAGTAATTTCATTTCACTTCCAGCTACATACCCAGAAGTGGAATTGTTGGGTTGTATGGTAGGTCCATTCTTAATTTTTTAAGAAGCCTTCATACCATTTTGCACAGTGGCTGTACCAACTTACATTCCCACCAGCAGTGCACAAGGCTTCCCTTTTCTCCACGTCCTTTCCTACACTTTGTTGTCTTTTTGGTAACAGCCGTTCTGACAGGCATGAGGTGGTAGCCCACGGTGGTTTTGATTCGCATCTCCCTGACGATTAGTGATGTGGAGCACATTTTTCCTGTGCCTCTTTCTTGGCCACCTGTATGTCGTCTTTGGAAAAACGTCTATTCACTTCCTCTACCCATTTTTAAATTGGATTGTTTTTTCACTATTGAGTTGTATGAGTTCTTCATATATGTTGGCTATTATCAGATATGTGCTTTGCAAATATTTTCTCCCATTGGGTAGTTGCCTCTTCATTTTGTTGGTTTCCTTTGTCGTGCATATGCTTTTTAGTTTGACGGAGTCCTCCTTGAGTTTTGCTTTTGGTGTTGAATCCAAAAAATCATTGCCCAGACTAATGTCAACAAGCTCACCACCTGTGTTTTCTTCTAGGAGTTTTATGGTTCCAGGCCTTACATTCAAGACTAATCCATTCTGAGTTAATTTTTGTGTATGGTATAAGATAGTGGTCCAGTGTCATTCTTTCACACATGGCTGTCCAGTTTTCCCAACACTGTTTATTGAAGGGACTGTCCTTTTGCCATTGTATACTTTTGGCTCCTGTGTCTTAATTGACCATATACAGGTGAGTTTATTTCTGGGCTCTTTATTCTGTTCCATTGATCTTTGTGTCTCTTTTTGTGCCAATACCATACTGTTTTGATTACTACAGCTTTGACTATAGTTTGGTATCAGGGAGCATGATGCCTTCAGCTTTGTTGTTCTTCAGAGGGCAAAGTTTTAAAGGCAGTTTGAGTTTAATATTTTTTAAGACAAGAAACTGATCACATCAAACTAGCTTGGGTAATGGTTCGAATGGCTTAAAATGCCAGATAAAACATGTTTTCAGCATGTCTGTCTAGATTTCGGATCTAATAGATCCTTCTGTAAGCTGCAGCTTAAGCCTCAATTTGGGATTCCTCCTTTAGTTTATATCATTCTCTTAACAACTCCATCTTCTATCTGCCCTGCCCTTCTCATTCTCCCGTTGTGGATCTCCCCCTAACTATTTTTTACTGTGATGCCTCTTTCCATTGCAAATAAATTTCTACACCCTCGGCCCCTTCACCAAAGACTCTGTTCTCCTGCCTCACCTCAGCACTGGTTCTTCCTTTCCCTTTCTGCGTTTGTAAGAGGAGGCAGCTAGTTCCCCAGTGCCCCACACGATGTAGTAATACATACACAGCTAGACAGACAGAGTTAAAGAGGCTTAAAAAAAACACGTCTTTATCACTTGTTCCCCTCATCCCCAGTCTTGCTTTCCAGAGGCCACTACTTCCAAATCTTCAGTCAGCTTTTCTGATATTTGCTTCCATATTTCTAAATGATATGCTAATACTGTTCTTCACTAATTTTAGGTACAGTCTGGTTAGTTTTTTATGGTAAAGGATTTAGCTCTCACATTAACTACCTCACTGTGTAACCCCCCCCCCCAATACAGTTATATCAGTTCTAAATAACTTTTCAAATGCAGACATTATCATTTTGAGCTTTTTCTGGGTTCTTCTGGGCAAAGTGGCTTCATGTACAATTCACTCTCCACAGGTAGGTGGATTGCAGCATTCTCCACTTGCTGAGTTAGTTACCACTTCATTGGCTTTGTTTTTTGAAAATACACTGGCATCTGGTCTTCTCTCCTATTCTCTGACCTTCGCTTAGCAATCCTCTCCCTCCCCTGGTAAATTTCCTCACGCCTCCTTTTTTGGTTGTTCCTAGTTACTTCTTAGCTTGGTAAATAGCTGGCAGAACTAGCAACTTCAGAGTCCTCCTAAAACATTTAACATTTAAAAAAAATTATAAAAGCATCACTTTGTTTTAAAAAAATTCAAATAATATTAGGGTACATTAAGCAAAGAGTTTATATATTCTACCACTCAGAGTGACACCTACTATTAAACATTTGGGATTCTTCCGTACTTTTTCTATATTGATTATATTGATTATATAAATGATACCCATTTGTGCTGGGGTTTTTTGTTTTGTTTTTGTTGACCTACAGCAAAAGGCTTCAGGAGGCTGGCTGCTCAATCAAGGCTTATTAATTGTCTTAGTGCAAATATGACTAATGAAGAATGTGTGCCTTTATTCCCCCTTTTAAGGTTTTAGGACATAAATTCGAAAGGAGTAAACTTTAAGAAAATTTTTATTTTAAAAAATCTCACAAAAAGTATTGGAATGAATACATAGATAAGGCATTTAGAAATGATTCTTTCTTTTGGTTTAGATTGTTCACTGGCTCAATTCTAGCTCTGCCCCCGGTAAAGTTCTCCAGAAACATTACTTATAAAGTCTGGTCTCATGGGAAAGGATTTTTACTGTACTGAAAGGAAGCCAGATGAAGGCGAGATCTGAAGCGCTCAGCTTCCAATTCCCGGAAGAAAGCATCATCGTCGTGCTGTGTTATCATGTTCTGCAGTTGCTGAATTTCCTTCTCCATCTTAGATCTCAGCTCTCTCTTCACCTTATATAATGTCTAAAAGAGAATTCATGTCATCCTGCCATTCACATTTCTCCAGGCCCTCATCTGTTTTTATTCCCTCTCCACCTTCCAGCTCATCAAGCTCCTGGAGTGGTTTTAATAATTTAGCAGCAGCTCTTACAGAGACCTGACAGGTAAAGTTAAAATCATAGGATAAATGTTTTGGATCCTAGATGGATCTTCTTCATAGTATTCTCTCCATTCCCCTTACAAGGTGTAATACGGTTGTTTATATTTCCTAAAAGTGTCAATAAATAATTTTTATCCTGTTATTACCTGGGCCTGGGCTTTCTCTCTGGCTCTGAGTTCTTGACGTTCCTGTGATACGGCTTCTGCCAGCAATGAAAACTGTTTACAAGAAAGAAAAAAACCAAATCTTAGACTTGTCTGTAGTCCAAATATAACAGTTCTTATACTTCTGTTTGTATAGAATAGCCTAATGTTCTTTAAGCCTAATGTTCATAGGCTTAAAATCTTTATTTTAATGGAAATAGGGCAATATAGACTCTAGATTCTGTACTGTGTTCAAGCACTAGCTTATTTTAAATTTCAATCTTGAACATGGGGTCAGCCTAACCTGTATAGTGACGAGTTCTGAGTTAATAAGTGGAGGTTTATTGTTCAACAGACTGAGCTGACTTGACCCAGGGTGGTCAGGAGAATGTAAACAAGCAACAGCGCGCCCACCTGGTCTTTATAGTAGTTCTCCATCGAGTCCAGTTCATTTTGGTGCTGTCTCTTTTGTTCATCTCGCTTTTCTTTGGCATAGTTTCTTAGGTCTCGTAATCTTTGCTTTTGAATTTGTAAACCTTCTTCAAACAGTTTCTTAAATATCTGTCAGTTATTTAGGCAGAAGAATAAAGTTATGCTGAACTTGCATGGAAGAATATAATCATTTTGCCCAAGTGGAGGCATATACTGATTGATTGTATTTCACAAAGATTTTTTTAAATAACAGCTTTATTGAGATATAATTTGCATACCATAAAATCCACCCTTTAAAGATGTATAATTCAGTAGGTTTTAGTATATTCAGAGTTGTACAACCATCACCACTAATGTCATAACATTTTCATCACTCCAAAAGAAACCCTGTACCCATTAGCAACCATTCCCCATTCTTCCCTCTCCCTAGGCAACCACTAATCTACTTTCTATGTTTATAGATTTGCCTCTTCTGGACATTTTTATAAATAGAATCATATAATATGTCACCTTTTTGTATCTGGCTTCTTTTTATTTGGCATAATGTTTTCAAGGTTTATCAATACTTCATTCCTTTTTATTGCCAAATAATACTCTACTGTATGGCTATATTACATTTGTTTATTCATCAGTTGATGGAGATCTGGGTTGTTTCCTCTTTTTGGCTCTTATAAATAACACTGCTGTGAACATTTGTATAGCAGTTGTGTGGATATATACCTAGGAATGAAGATCGAGTCATATGGTAGCTCTATGTTAAACCCTTTGAGTAAATGCCAGACTGTGTTCCGAAGTGGCTTGACCATTTTACAACCTCACCAGCCCTGCATGGGGGTTCCAACTTCACATCCTTGCCAACATTTGTCTATTTTAGCCATCTTAGTGGGTGTGAGTGGTATCATTGAGGTTTTGATTTGTATTTCCCTAATGACTAATGGTGTTCAGCATCTTTTCCTGTATCCCAAAGATTCTTTACCACTTTCAGAAAAGAACTCTCAAGTAGCCAAGTTTATAGGGCAGGAACCCCAGAGCATGGGCCGGCCTGGTGGCACAGTGGCTAGGTTTGCATGCTCTGCTTTGGTGGCACAGGGTTCACAGGTTCAGATCTCAGGTGTGGACGTAGCACCACTCGTCAAGCCATGCTGTGGTGGCATCCCACATAAAATAGAGGAAGATTGGCTCAGATGTTAGCTCAGGGCCAATCTTCCTCAACACACACACACAAAAGAACCCCAGGGCAGAAACCAATGCTGCATCTACACTTGTGCATAACTGAGGGTGATGTGGTTATCATCTAACGAGGCCACAGGACAACTAACTGTTCAAAGGATTGGGATATGCCCTCGTCATCCATGGATTAGTAAGAATTCTTGATCAAAGAACTGGTTCTTACAGCCATGCATTCACTAGCCAGCCATAATACCTTAGTTAAGTTCCTTAACCTCTCACAGCCTTAGAAATGAGGATAATAGTATGACCCACTTCAGAGCATTTAGCCCAGTTAACTATAATTACCTTAATGTTTTACTCTAGAGATGAAATTTACTGCCAGTTTGGAACCCCAAAAGATTAAGCATTTCAGCTTGATTAGGATGAGACAGCAAATACCTTGTGGAAACACCTCACAGCACATCTGTCCTACACTATTTTCCTGGTTTTTTTATTTTTTATTTTTTATTAATGTTATGATAGATTACAATCTTGTGAGATTTCAGTTGTACATTTTTGTTAGTCATGTTGTGGGTACACCACTTCCCCCTTTGTGCCCTCCCCCCACCCCCTCTTTTCCCTGGTAACCACCGATCAGATCTCCTTATCAATATACTAACTTCCACCTATGAGTGGAGTCATATAGAGTTCGTCTTTCTCTGCTTGGCTTATTTCGCTTAACATAATACCCTCGAGGTCCATCCACGTTACTGTGAATGGGCCAATTTTGTCTTTTTTTATCTATTTTCCTGGTTTTATGTGAAATCTTAGGTCATCTAATAACACGTTAAATTCCTGTCTTTTATAACATGCTCCAAACCCCTAAAGCAGTTGTACTGGAGAAGAACCTATGTGCAGGGGGTCAGAGGGAATTAAGACCTCACATTAAGTTTAGGGCAGTGGAGACTGAGAAGAGACTGGAGTGCACTATGGGAGTAATAAAATGAGGCACGGACAAGTCTGAACCCTCACAGTCAGCATTTTAGGACTTGCATTTGGATTCTGGATTCAAACTGGGACGAGAGTCACAAGGAAGGTGGTCCTAAAAGGCAAGAGACCAAAGTTCACCTTCTTAACAGGGTTTGAGAGAAAAGCCGTATTTACCATTTCTTCCCGGGTCCTCATTCTCATCATTTTTGCACGCAGCTGAACTCTGTAATCATCATAATACTTTCGGGCACGAACAATCTGCTGCCGATTTTCTTTTATCTTTGATTGGGTTAGCTTTTGCCTATGAATGCGATCGTTGAAGTCTTGCTAAGAAAGGGAAAGGGAGAAAGAGGTAAAGACAAGAGGAAGACAGACTCTGGAGTTGTCATTTGTTCTGCTCCCCATCATGATGTCTTCAAGCAGTAAGCCAGGTATAGAGGGCCAGTGGCCTACTGCCTGGGCACAGAGTGTGAAAGACCGTCAGCCCCCAGAAGCCCTCCAGCATTTGGTAGGTTCATCACCTCAATTTGAAGTGCCGCCCCAGTGAGCCCCCACTGTGGCAGAGAGCAGCAATGATCCTGGTGGAACTGAGGATCTCATCTCCCTGTTCTAACAGGGGGTTGCCTAAGCCACACTCTGATGCCAGCTTAAAAGGAGTAAACAAACAGCACTCTGAAAGACTTTCAAGCAAAGCTTGAGTTACCAAGAGTATTTACATCAAAACTAACGAAATTAGATAATTTCTTACAAAGTGGTATAGATGAAATGAGGTCAGGTCCATAAAGCCTTCACCTAGTTGTTCAGATATTTGTTTTCTTTTCCCCCATACCAAAGTACCACATTCAGTTTTTCAGATGGCTTCTCTTTCTTTCTCTGGAATTGTTTAGGATTATAGTTCTCATTGCTTGTCTCTACCTCCAAACAAGGGTTTTAAAATCTGTCTGTCTGGCATACTGTCTTTGACCTCTGTCCTCTCCCTTTAGTATACTCAACAGAAGATATGTTGTACTATGTATATTCGCAATCCAAATTATAATGGAGGCTGGTGAACTACCTCAGCTCTCTACTGGGGAGAAAGATGGGAGGGAACAAAAACACTAAGTTACAACCACCTGGTACCTCGAAGGGGCTGTGGAGGTAGAAATAGACCTGGATTAAAATCTCAACTTTGGGGGCTGGCCCTGTGGCGTAGTGTTTAAGTTTGGTGCACTCTGCTTCCAAGGCCCAGGTTCACAGGTTCAGATCCTGGGCATGGACCTATACTGCTTGTCAGCCATGCTGTGGCAGTGACCCACATGTAAAGTGGAGGAAGACTGGCAAAGATGTTAGCTCAAGGCTAATCTTCCTCAAGGCAAATGAGAGGATTGGCAACAAACGTTAGCTCGAGGCTAACCTTCCTCAGCAAAAAACCTCAACTTTGCCCCTTGCTGATTATGGTGGGACCCAGGGCAAGTTAAGATATCAAAGCCACCTCAGGTTTCTCATTTCACAGAAAACATCTCCATTATGTTACCATAAAGACTAAATTAAACTGTGTATATAATAAAGCACTTAGAACCTTCCCCCCTCATCAATTTTGGTGAAAGCCCTAGATGCTTCCCCAGGCAAGTATCAGAATTAAGAGTCTGTGGGACTATTGTCCAGCTGCTACAAATAAAATCGATATAACTTATAAATTCAAAATTATAAAGCCAGCCCTGATGGCCTAGTGGTTAAAGTTTTGTGCATTTCACTTTGGTGGCCTGGGTTTAGTTCCCGGGTACAGGACCACACCACTCATCTGTCAATAGCCATGCTGTGGCGGTAGCTCACACACAACCAGAAGAACTTACAATTAGACACAACTATGTACTGGGGCTCTGGGGCGGGGGTGAGAAAAAGGAGGAAGACTGGCAACAGATGTTAGCTTAGGGCAAATAGTCCCCTGCAAAACCAAACCAAAACAAACAAATGAGAATTCTAATACCCAACTTGCTCCTGACATACCAGTCTCTTGTTATGTTCATATTCTTTCTTGACAAGTGCAGTAAGGAGGTCATGCCGCCTTAAGGCTTCTTCTATCTTTAAGAGGGACAGAGGGAAGGAGGTTAATAATGCTATTCATTAGATTCTCAAGGATAGGCTCCTCCCTTTTCTGGTTTATATTCCTATGCTTAAAATTGACAGTTAACTTACTTCATCCTGGAGTTTCTTCTTTGATCGATTTTCTCTATATGCATCTTTTTTGAGCTGTTCAACCTGTGCAATTTGCTGTTTCCACATTTTGCTTAGTGTTTGGCCAGAAACATAGAGAAATGGAAACTGCTCCAGCATCAGGGGTAGGAGACCGTGTTCGTTTACTTTCACTGCAAGGTAAAACGAGATGCTCTAAATCTGAGATACTTGCTGACAGCTTTTAATAAGAACTCTCAACCCACCTTCCTGGTAGATCAAAGCTTATCTAAGTGATGTGGTTCTGCTCCTGAAAAGAACAATTCTAAAAGTACGTTATTACTTTTTGCATTCCTTCTTTGATCAGAGTAAATCAACTACTAGTAAGGAGAAAATAAGCTCAACAGTTCTGATTGATGACACGCTGGTCTGGTGAAGTCCATCCTAACTTCTCAGCAGACTCAGCGCCTGGGGTGGATGCTCTGTGTGTGGTCAAAGATTCCTCAGCCCTCCTGGGAGGCAAAGTCTCTGTCTGATGGGATGTAGTTAGAAACCAGCAGCCTTTGAAACTGCACCCTGGCATTTCACATGACCCTGTTTTCCTTATAACAGGACTCTAACACACACTGGCATCGATTATCAATACAACAGGAGGTGGACAGGCCATCTGCTTGCTTTGGAGCATCGCTTTGGTTCTACCAACTTCCCAGAAACAAAGAAAAGGCAACCAGCATAAGTGAGCAGCAGAATGAAGCTAAGCTGGAGCAGCAGGTAGCAGCCCCAGCACTCCTTTGGTGCCAATATATATAGGCCTCCTGAAGGTATTATTTAAGAGTTTTATATCTCTTTATAGCAATCTAGCATATGGCAGTTATAAAAGAGGGAACGTTCTGCAGCTAACTGGTGGATGTTAGTTTTCAGTGCTGTGTCCTTGGAATGTAACACACACTTTCAAAGGATGCCAGTTTTCCATAAAGTACAATTTTGTGGTTCTTACTTGGAACTGCTTTATTTGGCTTTGGCAAGCCACCTTTTGGACTTGGAGTTGTGGTTTTTCGAGAGTAAATCTTCCAGGGCTGACTACGTTTTGGAGTTCCTTTATGAACAGCTTCTCTGTATACTTTTTCCTTAGAAGCAGATATAAAACAGAACAGAAATAAGAGAGAGGTCTAATCACTCTTTCATACAACATCTTAAGTATTACGTATTGACAAAAGAGCTAACTAATCCCCAGCCAAACCACCTTCCGTCAGATTTCTAAAATCTGGTTAGTATTTATCTACTCTAAGTTACAAGCAGCTTTTGGCTTCTGGCATCCTTTGGAATTTAAAAAAGCACTGAATAGTTTTTGAGTTTCATAGTCACCACAGTCCCACACCCTAAATACAACTTACTAACAATGTTTTTATAGTACTTGCTTCTTTGACAACTTTTTCCAAATAGGTTAAACAATGTTTAGTTGTAACCGCACTGTACTTTACATCCTGTTTTGTTCATGAATATTTTAGCATAAGCAGTTTTCCTATGCTTTCATTTCATTTCTGTAACCATCCTTTTGAAAGGCAAGGAAAACTTATGCTTTGGGTTTCTTCCAACCAGGCCTAGAACTACAACTGAGATTTCCTATCTTCTCTTATTGCCCTTTAAAGTGTCAATCTAGACTATCTCTTAAACCCTTGGTGAACTGCTAAGCAACAGAACCTCTTAAAATTGATGGAAGTTTCGGGCAGAAAGGAAAAATGCTAATGTTCTTTGGTATCATGTCTTGTCACATTTTAGCAACTTGGCTACACTGTGAATAAGAGAAAATCCCACACATAAAATGAAATCCTGCCTTTTCCTAAGGAGCTAATGATTAAAGCCCTGTTGATTCTTTTTTCTTTTTAAAAAGATCATCTCTGCACTTTCCACTGATCTGATGGCATTTATTACAGTAGAGACTTTTACCCACTGTTTCCTCCTCATTATTTATTCCTAGAGGTCCAATATTCTCTTGAACTTTATTCCTTCTTAGTTCCCTTTCAAATGCTTCAGTTAGTGCCTAGAGGGAAAAAGGCCATACGATATTATAATTAAAAAGATATACAAATGAAAATGAAGGAAAAAAAATTCACCCAAGATCCTGCCATTCCATTCACTTTTTTTTAAGTCCCTTTCAGGCTCTATATAATAAATATACATTATTTAACACATTTAATTGGGACATAAAGTGAAATTTTCTATACTGTATTTTTTTGTTTTCACAGTTTTTGTAATTATTTTGATACTCCCTTGAGTAGAAGTTACATGCTGAGTTACATACTGAGTTGAAGTTACATGTTATTGTAAGACATCTGAATTCGTTTTCACTATCATAAAACATACTACAGGAAACAACTTAAGTGTTCTAAACTTATGCTACATTTCAAAATCCCTGTTCTATAGCAGAAAAGTCTTCCCTGGTAATCATGTAATCAAAGTATCTCCTTGTTGAATCCTAACTACCTCCTCTCATTCCTGTCTTGGGCACTTTCATCCTATCTGTAACTCAAGTGGCCTATCACGTTTAATCCACCTCAGATTTTCTTCATCTCTGAAGCTCTCTCTGAAAATATCAACCCACAATGATGTATACTTTCTTAATCCACTGGTGTACTGGGCTATATCTGACAAGGTTAGTTTCCTTAGAGTATCATGAGTACAAGTTTTATGATCCCTAATGGGGGACACAGAAGCTAAGTCACATAATTTTCTATCATTGACTCAGCTCAAGAATGTTAAATGAATTTTAAGCTTTTAATTAACAGCATGTTAATTACAGGCATTGCCTGCTGTCCAACGGTAATCAAGAGATGAGATGTACCTTTGCTTGGAATCGGCGGATATCTGTTTCCTTTGGCTTTCGCTGCTTTCTTCTCTCCATATGGAATGGTTTGTTTTTGTTAACGGGAGATGGCGAGAGTGAATGAGATCTGTAGGGTGGCTTTCTATGCATGGCAAGTCCTATAACATAGAAGAGACGTATACCATTAGTTGCTGACAGCCAGAAGTGTTAAGTTGGGAAAAAAATAGCTGATTTTTACCAAATCCAAAGAGACTGACTGTGAATATGCTAAATGTACTCTCTCCTATAACTAATCTGTATTTTCATATTTAGTCATACCAAGTAAACAGACAAATGCACATAAATGTGTACTGTCTCAAGTAGGTACTTAGGTTCCATATTCATCTTTGGGTTGAAAATGGAGCAACATGTGGAATGTGTGAAGCACACAAAGGCCTATATTAAGTGCTCTCGGTAGTGGAGGGAGAAAGAAAATGTTAAACCGTCTGAGCCATGTGTCTGCTATCCCTTTACCTATCTAGGTCCTGAGGAGGTGGGATGTAAGCATACACACATACCTTATAAAGCAGCATGCTTATAAGCAAAACTTAATGTAGTTTAGCATTTTCTAAGCAATTCCAATTCTTCCCTATTTAGCAATCTAGCCTTCCTAATTCCTCACTGCCCAAGAGAGCTGACAAATCACTTCTTTCCACAAACCTTTCTATGTTTCATTGTTTATAAGATGTGCTTGGGCCTCTGCTAGTTGTGAAGAGGGGTACTTCATGCCTTTCTGGAAAAGCAGATAATTTAATATAGCTCTAAGGTCAAAGAAATTAGTTTGATAGCTTTCTAAATAAATTTTCCCAGAGAATTCAAATTTCCCTGAGCTTTTATTTTTCTTTTCACTCTCTTTTAATTCAAATCTTTCAAATTCATTTTAAACTCTAAGGTATTAAGAAAAGCTGACTTACACAACTTATTTTAAATGATGTTTTTATGCTATTTTACTATGTCCATAATGTACTGTTCTTTAGAAATTGAAGAATGAATTAAAATAACATTTTCCTGTAAAATGCGTTTTCAAAACAGGATACCATATGTATATGTATAGTAAGGGAAACACGTAGGTTACTGGTGAGGTTTCCTAGAGATTACCTGAGTCAAGCTCAAGGAAAGAGATGAAATAATCAAGAGGAGGGAAAAGTATTCTTGCAGTAAAAAAAACAAGTGAAAAAGTTAAGGAAGTTTCAGGGCCGGCCCTGTTGCAGAGTGGTTAAGTTGGTGCACTCTGCAGCAGCAGCCCGGGGTTTCACCCATTTGGATCCTGGGTGCAGACCTAGCACCACTTATCAAGCCATGCTGAGGGCATCCCACATAGCAGAGTTGGAAGAACCTACAACTAGAATATATACAACTATGTACTGAGGGGCTTTGGGGAGAAGGAAAAAAAAAAAAGACTGGCAACAGATGTTAGCTCAGGGCCATAAAAAAGAAACATTAAAGAAGTTTTGGTAGATAAAAGTAATGGAAAACACTCAGAATTTTAGGTGGTGGAAGATAGGATAATTATTTGAATTTGAACAAACAGTAGGAAGTATCTGCAAGGAAGTGGCAAACCAGAAACTGTCATGCATTGCTGATATGAGTATAAACTGGTACAATCACTTTGGAGGGGAATTTGGCAATCGTGAAAAAGCGTAAACCTCATGATTTACCACTTCTACGAGATGTAGATCCTAGAGAAACTTCTGCACAGGTTATAGATTGTTCACTGCAGAACTGTAGTTATGAATATGTCCTACAGTAAGGGAAATGGTGATATATATATATACTCATACAAATGGGGTACATTGTATCAACTTATTACACAGTAGTTAAAAAGAATGAACTGGATTTATAAGTATTAACATAGATTTCCAAAACAACGTTAACAGAAAAAAGTTGCAGAATACACACAAAATCTACATAAATTTAAAAAAACAAAACAATAGCATATTTAGACAAGTAACATATAAGCTGTTACAGTATAAAAACAGGGATGAGTGTGTTCCAGTTCATGATGGCAATATAGAGGCTCCTGAACTCACCCCCTCTCGTGGAACACAATGAATCTACAGCTACATATGGAACACTTCCCACTGAAAGGAATCCAGACCCTAGCTGAGTGGCTCCTACACATCAGGTGTTAGGAAAAAGCCCATAGCGAAATGGGTCTTGGCACACCATAATCTACCAGAAGCAATTAAATAAAGGCGGCAGGGTAGACAAGCACAAAGGTTTGCTAGACAACCAAGAGGTAGGGATGGGCTGAACAAGATTCATCTCCTATGCAAGACTACTCCTTCAAGACTGGGAGAGGTGGCTGTTTTACCTAATGCACAGAAACCAACACAGAGTCAAGGAAAATGAGGAAACAAAGGAATGTGTTCCAAACAAAAGAACAAGATAGAACTCAAGGAACAGAGCTTAATGAAACAGAGATGAGGGATTTACCTGATAAAGAATTCAAAATGATGGTCATAAAGATGCTCAATGAGGTCAGGAGAACAATGCATGTACAAAGTGAGAATTTCAACAAACAGAAAGAAAATAGAAGAAAGTACCAAACAGAAATCACAGACCCAAAGAATAGAATAATTGAACTCAAAAATACAATAGAGGGGTTCAACAGCAGACTACATGAGGTGGAAGAACAGATCGGTGAACTCAAAGACAGGGCAGTGGAACTCATCCAAACAGAGAAGAAAAAAGAAAAAGAGTGAAGATAGGGGCTGGCCCAGAGGCCAAGTGGTTAAGTTCACACACTCTGCATTGGTGGCCCAGGGTTTTGGATCCTGGGCCTGCACCTGGCACCGCTCATCAAGCCGTGCTGAGGTGGCGTCCCACACAGTACAAGCAGAAGGACCTACAACTAGAACATACAACCATGTACTGGGGGCCTTGGGGAGAAGGAGGAGGAAAAAAAGACAAGATTGGCAACAGATGTTAGCTGAGGTGCCAATCTTTAAAAAAAAAAAAAAAACAGCAAGAGAGAAACAACTTGTTATGTACAAGGGAACCTCCATAAGATTATCAAGAGATTTTTCAGCAGAAACTTTGTGGGCCAGAAGGGTATGGCACAATATAGTCAAAGTGCTGAAAGAGAAAAACTGCCAGCCAATACCACCCTACCTGGCAAAGCTGTCCTTCAGAATGAAAGGAGACGTAAAGAGTTTTTCAGACAAGCAAAAGCTGAAGGAGTTCATCAATATTAGAAAGGCCTTACAAGAAATTTTAAAGGGACTTCTTCAAGCTGAAAGGGTAGTAATTAGTAACAGCAAAACATACAAAAGTACAAATCTCTATGGTAAAAGTAAATATATAGTTAAATTCAGGCTATAATGTAATGGTGGTGGGTAAGTCACATATAAATCTAGTATGAAGGTAAAAAGACAAAAGTAGTGGAGTGATGTCAACATCATGGTGGAGTGAGCTCTTCCCTTAGTCTCATCCCCGCTAAGATACAATGAAAGGGAAACTCATAAACCAACAGAGGACATTCGTACAACATAATACATGTTTGAGAGATCCACACAGACATATGTCTGAAGGTGGGGGTGCTGGAGCCCTCAGGAGACAGTGGAAGGAGGTAAGTGGATCTCCTCTCACTCCCATGTGGCAGCAATCTGGGGCATGGGACCATGTACGGCAGCTGGCACGCAACTCTGAGAAGAGAAAGGGTAAAAGGCAGCCCTCTGGAGGAATACTTGTGCTCTTGGGGTTGCCTCCCAACATGTGGGAATGCTCCTCACCAAGGTGGCTAAGCTACTGTGGGGTCATCCACACCAAGCCGAGCAGCCCAGGTGGGCAGTGACTGCAGAGTGGGAGCACATGGGAGCATGCATGTGAAAGACAGCGCCCCTCCCCCCACACCTGGCACACCAGCTGGGCCAGTCAGCTAGAGCAGGAGATCTCCACCAGAGTACTTGCACCAACGTGTGTAAAGCAGCAGCAGCCAGTAGGCAAACGTAAATGGGCCCTGTTGGCACAGTTTCAATGGACAGCAACATCTGCAAGAGGCTGCAGTGGGTTCAGAAAATACAGCTCCAGGGGCCGGCCCCAGGGCCGAGTGGTTAAGTTTGCGTGCTGTGCTTCGGCAGCCCAGAGTTTCACCAGTTCGAATCCTGGGCGCGGACATGGCACTGCTCATTAAGCCATGCTGAGGTGGCATCCCACATGCCACAACTAGAAGGACCCACAACTAAAAATACACAGCTATGTACTGGGGGGGCTTTGGGAGAAAAAGGAAAAATAAAATCTAAAGAAAAAACTTCCTAAACCTAGGGGAGGAGCTGGAATTACATGTAAATGAAGCTAATAGAACTCCTGATTACATCAATGTAAAAAGACCTTCTCCAAGGCATATATTAGTAAAACTGGCAAAAGTCTATGACAAAGAAAAAATATTAAGGGCAGCAAGGCAGAAGAAAGTAACTTACAAAGGAACCCCACCTCAGGCTTTAAGCAGATTTCTCAGCAGAAATCTTACAGGCTAGGAGAGTGGAACGATATATTCAAAATTCTGGAACACAAAAACTGAAAGACAAAAGCAAAGACAAGAATATTCTACCCAGTGAAACTATCCTTCAGATACAATGGAGAAATAAAAACGTTTCCAGATAAACAAAAGCTGAGTGAGTTATCACAAGACCTTCCCTACAAGAAATGATCAAGGGGGCCGGCCTGGTGGCACAGTGGTTGAATTCACATGCTCTGCTTCAGCAACCAAGGGTTCACGAGTTCGGATCCCAGGCACAGACCTACACACCACTCATCAAGCCATGCTGTGTCAATGTCCCACATACAAAATAGAGGAAGATGGGACAGGAGTTAGCTCAGGGACAATGTTCCTCAAGCAAAAAGAGTAGAGTTGGCAATAGAAGTAAGCTCAGGACCAATCTTCCTTGCCACACAAAAAAAAAAAGAGGACAAAGACTCTCATACCTGAAAAAAAAAAAGCTTTTACAAAGCCTTGAGGAGGCAGATTAACAGACAGATAAAATCAGAATAGCAGCTATCAGAACAGGTTAGCAAACAATTATAACATTAAAGACAAAGGGAAGGAAAGCATCAAAAATAACTATAATTACTTTATTTTAATCACAAACTCCCAAAACAAAACTGAATAAGTTGTTAC